CACAGCGAATGACACCAAAGTGAGTGAGTGAATATGATTTTACACCGCTTTTAGCAAAATTACAGCAATATCATGGAGGGACATTTGAGTGTGGTTTTATGCCGCTTTTAGCAACATTACGTACAGCAATATCACGGGGGGACATGTGAGTTTGGTTTGACGCCGCTTTCGGCAACATTACAGCACTTTGACGGCGGGGGACACCAGAGTGAGTGATTATGATCTTACGCCGCCTTAAGCAATATTCCAGCAATATCACGGGGGACATGTGAGTGTGGTTTAACGCCGCTTTTAGCAACATTTCAGCAATTTCACGGCGGGGGACACCAGAGTGAGTGAGTGTGGTTTTACGCAATATCACGGGGGACATGTGTGGTTTTACGCCGCTTTTAGCAACATTTCAGCAATGTCACGGCGGGGGACACCAGAGTGAGTGAATGTGGTTTAACACCGCTTTTAGCAACATTTCAGCAATGTCACGGCGGGGGACACCAGAGTGAGTGAGTGTGGTTTAACGCCGCTTTTAGCAACATTTCAGCAATTTCACGGCGGGGGACAGCAGTGAGTATGATTTTACGCCGCTTTTAGCAATATTCCAGCAATATCACGGGGGGCATGTGAGTGTTGTTTAACGCCGCTTTCAGCAACATTTCAACAATTTCACGGCGGGGGACACCAGAGTGAGTGAGTGTGCTTGCCGTAATTGGCGACTATGCTTGTCGTAAGAGGCGACTAACGGGATCGGGTGGTGAGGCTCGCTGACTTGGTTGAAGCATGTCATCTGCGACTGTACGTGGCTTTTCTCTCAAGGGGGTTGACGTAGCGTAAAATTATTGTCCCCCTATGAGAGTATGTAAGACCACATCATTCAAAGTATGTTTATTTCTACCTTAGTTTTAATCGTAGTATACTTGTAATCTTAATTGTTGGCTTAACTTTCACTCAATCACCAGTAGCCAGAGGGATGGTATAAATCCTGCTGGAGTTCCATGTTGGTAGCAAAAGTACCGTAAGTCCCCATGGTACCTAGTATGGTGACCTACCTTTGGTTGTTGGTGATCTTTAGCCCATTTTTAATTTGTATTGTTATGAATAGTTCAAATGTTTATAATGACATGCTAGTTTTAAATATACGTCTGTGATAATCTAGTTATTTTACTGTCCTTTGTAGACAGGTTTTATAGTTCAGTTTTGTATTTAATTAATTTATAACTTGATTTAGTCACGATATGGCTGAAATATTGCCGATGTGACTATAAACATTAACTCACTCACTCACTGAAGCATGTCATCGTATCCCAATTGGGTGGATCGATGTCAATCACTGGACTGTCTTGTCCAGACTTACAGACCGCCATCATATAGCTGGAATATTGCTGATTGCGGCGTTAAACAACAAACAAACAAACCTACGAGGGCAACATATCGGTGTTCATGAAAGAGATGAAGAGATTACCCGTTTATATTTATTTAATAAACATACAGCTGTATTACACATTGTGTAACACCAAAACGCGTGCTTATGTACTGTCGGAATAAGTTTCACGAACAAATATTGAAAGCTCTCAACATCCCTCGGCTTATTCGGCGACATTGCGTGTTGTGATGATAGATCACTGAGAGGAGCTTATGCACAGTCGGTGACCCCAGCAACCTTGTTGCTAGCTGACGTCACATGGCATTGTTTCCCCTATGGTTCTTGCAACAAAATTCCACAAATTACGTCATCTGGTATTGTGACGTAATTGTAAACTTTGTTGTGCAGGTCCTCGTTCCACAAGGCGATCGTACTGTAGCGCAACGACAGTCGTTAGTCAGTTAAAGTATGTGAGTTGCGATAGTCTTAGCCCTACGACAATTTTGTGAATTCTAAAGGTGGACCGTTGTATGATATTAAATTCATACGTTTCAACTTTTGACGTGTTTGAAGTAGTATTCTGTTAAACTCAATTGGACTATGCCGTGGATCGTGTAAGTGTCAGCCTATTCATACTCAACAGTATAATCCTAAAAATGTTATAAATGGCAAGTAATAAATAAAATACTAAACTCGCTTTTCACTCGTCAGATACCAGAACTATTCACTCGTTTCATAAAATTGGTATTACACGGGGGCTCGTTTAGTATTATATATAGATGTGTGCCCTCGGGTCAAATCACGTCATGAGACAACAGTGTATTGTTTCCGTCATCTGGACGGCATTGTTGACGTCTTTCGAATCTTATTGTGACGTGAGATCGGAATGACGTCATACTAGAAACGACGTCATAGCTGAAGGTTGCTGACATCATTCAACAAATTGTGGTTCCGCTGCTGTTGCGACTTGCTTTCCTTATAGGTAAACACTAAAATTGGTCTCTGTATGTAGACATCTTCTTCGGTAATAAAGAGAACATTATATTTTTGTTCACGTCATACTATGTTTACGACACTCGTGCCTAAATTCCGGTATTTCCATCACTCTCCCTCGGGAAATACCGCAGTATGGACACTCATATAATATCCTCTCTATATCAATCACTGGTTAACTCCTTCAAACTCGATTACAGGCCGCTGTCATATACGAGGAATGTTACCGAGCGCGGTGTCAAACAAAACAACAGAGGTTGGATGGAGACGGTTCTCTACAACACCAACATCCAGATCCATGTATATACTACTCAAAAGAAGTTAAAGAACACCGGGTTCTTCCATAATACTATAGTTAATCTGTCGTGCCATTTCTGTACATGAATTCCACACGCTATAGATGAAATAAATGCGAGAAAATCGAAGATTGAAATGGTTGGCGTTATTAGACATTGCTCAATCAACTCCTCAATGCCAAACCCTCACATCTGAGGGATACCAGGCGCCCAGATAAACACCACATCACCACAAGGGGTTGGATAGATGGCAACACAACGTTCTGGCGCGACAGGGGAATTCCACACAAACTTTGGATCATTTCTAGAAAGTTTAGCTTGGTTTGGACTGTAGGTAAATACACTGTAGATCTGCGATGGGTGTTTTGGTTTGGAGCGTCATTTTTTCAGACAGAGCAATTTGCTGATTTAATGGATCTGCTTGAATCATTAACCTTTGTGTAAATTTGTATGTGTGAAAGTCAGTTTAAGTCACTTTTGGGGAAGCTATATAGTCTCAATAGGGATTACATGTAGTTGGTTGAGCATATATATATACTACTCAAAATAAGTTAAACAACACAAGTTTTTTGCATATGACTATAGTTAATCTGACATGGCTAGTGGGTATTGCAACACCAATTGCATGTTGGCCTAGCTTCAAAGACAAATTTGTATATTGCATGATATCCCAAACAACGAAAACATTATGCACGAGGATCAGGTAATCAGACACTGTGACTTGGTTGATTGTGTGTCACGAGGATCAGGTAATCAGACTCTGTAACTTGGTTGATTGTATGTCACGAGGATCAGGTAATCAGACACTGTGACTTGGTTGATTGTGTGTCACGAGGATCAGATAATCAGTCTCTGTGACTTGGTTGATTGTGTGTCACGAGGATCAGGTAATCAGACACTGTGACTTGATTGATTGTGTGTCACGAGGATCAGGTAATCAGACACTGTGACTTGGTTGATTGTGTGTCACGAGGATCAGGTAATCAGTCTCTGTGACTTGGTTGATTGTGTGTCACGAGGATCAGGTAATCAGACACTGTGACTTGGTTGATTGTGTGTCACGAGGATCAGGTAATCAGTCTCTGTGACTTGGTTGATTGTGTGTCACGAGGATCAGGTAATCAGTCTCTGTGACTTGGTTGATTGTGTGTCACGAGGATCAGGTAATCAGTCTCTGTGACTTGGTTGATTGTGTGTCACGAGGATCAGGTAATCAGTCTCTGTGACTTGGTTGATTGTGTGTCACGAGGATCAGGTAATCAGACACTGTGACTTGGTTGATTGTGTGTCACGAGGATCAGGTAATCAGTCTCTGTGACTTGGTTGATTGTGTGTCACGAGGATCAGGTAATCAGACACTGTGACTTGGTTGATTGTGTGTCACGAGGATCAGGTAATCAGACACTGTGACTTGGTTGATTGTGTGTCACGAGGATCAGTTAATCAGACACTGTGACTTGGTTGATTGTGTGTCACGAGGATCAGGTAATCAGACACTGTGACTTGGTTGATTGTGTGTCACGAGGATCAGGTAATCAGACACTGTGACTTGGTTGATTGTGTGTCACGAGGATCAGGTAATCAGTCTCTGTGACTTGGTTGATTGTGTGTCACGAGGATCAGGTAATAAGACTGTGTGACTTGGTTGACTGTGTGTCACGAGGATCAGGTAATCAGTCTCTGTGACTTGGTTGACTGTATGTCATGATGGTCAGGTAATCAGTCTCTGTGACTTGGTTGACTGTGTGTCACGAGGATCAGGTAATCAGTCTCTGTGACTTGGTTGACTGTATGTCATGATGGTCAGGTAATCAGTCTCTGTGACTTGGTTGACTGTGTGTCACGAGGATCAGGTAATCAGTCTCTGTGACTTGGTTGATTGTGTGTCACGAGGATCAGGTAATAAGACTGTGTGACTTGGTTGACTGTGTGTCACGAGGATCAGGTAATCAGTCTCTGTGACTTGGTTGACTGTGTGTCACGAGGATCAGGTAATCAGACTCTGTAACTTGGTTGATTGTATGTCACGAGGATCAGGTAATCAGACTCTGTAACTTGGTTGATTGTATGTCACGAGGATCAGGTAATCAGTCTCTGTGACTTGGTTGATTGTGTGTCATGAGGATCCGGTAATCAGTCTCTGTGACTTGGTTGACTGTGTGTCACGAGGATGTGTGTGTCATGTACCCCGAACAATTCTCTCCTGTGTTTTGTGACTGTTCCACCCGCATGGTTCATTATCTACATCCTGCCATGACACAACTGGAACAACTGACACAACATTCACTTCAATATTCCTTCTTCTGTGACTACCGCATAGCGATATATGGACAAAAAGGAGAAAATCAATAATTAATGTAAAAAGTATATTTATTTAGAGATTACCTACATCCAAACACTTTCAGATGTATCCAACTTGGAGTTTGACAGATCACAATGCAGCTACTAGCACAGACATTCATCCAGCTCAAGACAAAGTCCGACCCAACAAATTGTTTTAGTTAAACAGTTTTCTATAATATCTCTATAGATACTTACTGCCAAAAGAAACTTGAATACCATATATGGTGATAAATAGGAATTACTCAAATTCAAGGGATATTATATACTGTTATGTTGTGTGAACCAATGCTAATGAACGCATCACATATGACATCACAGATCCATGACTCAAGATGCACCATTTAAATCGTGCAGGATTAGCGTGTAAAGTTTGAAAATAACATTCAGCATATCGTGATAAGAATAAAGACACTGTGGTAACACTTGACTGATTGTTAGTTTTGTCATGAAGTGGTACACATTGGAAAAATCTCTCGTTAACGTACATACTTCTCTATATGTTTCGCGTTTCTTTTGGCAGTGATTATATCCTAAACTATCCTAACTGTGTTCAATGCCTGATGCTCATGGTGGGCCCTTGCCCTGTCTCCCCAAAGACAAATGCATGTGTTCTGCCACTAACAACACGACAGCTCGTCATATCTTCGCTTTACCTGTGTATTATATACTACTCAAAAGAAGTTAAAGAACCCCTGATTCTTTCATATTACCTTAGTAATTACACAATACCATGAGACCAACTATAGTAATATGAAAGAATAGGGTGTTCTTTAACTTCTTTTGAGTAGTATATCTCCATTCTATTATGCGTGGAATTTCCAATATAATGCCTGATAACACAAGGACTTCTCTCCCCTATCTTAATACTCAGGGGGCGATCGGGTAGCCTAGTGGTTAAAGCGTTCGTTTGCCATGCTGAAGATCCGGGTTCGATTCCCAACATAGGTACAATGTGTGAAGCCCATTTCTGGTGTCCCCCGCCGTGATATTGCTGGAATATTGCTAAAAGCGGCGTAAAACCATACTCACTCATTCACTTAATAATCAGGAAAACCATTCTCTTGCTAAAAGATCATATATAACATTTATCTGATTTAGTTAAATGTATTGAGTGTCCACTCATACAAGCCCGCAATTTCTAAATAGAGAAGTGAGAAGGTCTCTTCAGACGAGTAAAAGATTACTGTATTCATAGTTATCAATAATAAAACTAGGATATCCCACCCTCTAAACTATCCAACTGAAAATATTGTTTACGCTTGATCACAAGCCCCTACAGTGTCTCTGTAAGTTTCCTCATGGTAATTCTCGTGGCTAAATCAATGGACGGAATGATGTGGTGAAAAAGTGAAAAATATATACATTGTACAACTTTTCTATATAAAAACAAGCATACATCCATATGTAATATCATAAAATACATATATACAAAACCAAAAATATATATAACAGCTGGAATGGAAGGATTTCTGATATCTATGAGTGAGTGAGTTAAAATTTAACGTCCCATCTGATATCTATGATTATAGTTGTAAGTGATGATGCACAAATGTAACAAAGTTTATTACATAGGCAGTTATCTCATCACAGTTTCTTACATACCGTATTCGACGTAATAAGCGCCCTGCTCTAATAAGCGCCCACGGCGACAATTGGTGATATATTGGCTAGTGAATAAGCCCAATTAGTAACCCATCCGATTGATCAGCGCTATACGGTAATTCAAAATAATCTAAATAGCATAGCTATTCTGTTCTACAATCATAATTTACTACTCAACTCCGGATAAGGATAATGTGCTAGCTCACACGGTATGACATTCGGGAGACAACGTTTACAAATGTTTACTTGCTTGCTTCAATGTCAGCTTTATGCCCAAATTATATCCTATTCCCATGGCAACATCTCCAATAAGTCTGATTTATCTCAGTTTGTATCATTGTTACCTAAACAATAATTTTAATCTGAAAAATGTAGCTTTCTGCCATAAAACACCCCTATGAATATATAAATACATACAGAGAGGCGAATTTGACATAGATTTTCATTACTTTATACTCAACATTCTGGTGCCCATATCATCATTTGAAATTATTTTATTTTTTGAAACATTGCCTGTGAAATATGAAAGCAAATCAAAAGAGCATCAAACAATCTTTCAATTTTATACACCTTATGATTCATAAATGTTACAATTTGATATATAGCCTACCTACTAAGACACTAACAAAACAGTACACTAACAATGTGACATCCCCCTGGTGTCTCTGTGATGCACTGTCCAGGAACGGGTAGAAGAAGTCATAGGGCACTTTGGCCAGGAAGACAGGTCTCTCTGCTTCGTAGGGGATGGCAGGCTGGGAGACGTCAATGAAGGAGACGGAGCTAGAGATCTCGATCCTCTGGGTGAGAGTGGATCCAGGCTGACAGTAGGGTCCCTCACACTGCAGGGCGAATACAGATCCGAGATTACAGGGGCAGTGTCAGTGTTTGTTTGTTTGTTGTTTACTGCCACATTCAGCAATATTCCAGCTATGTGACAGCTGTCTGTAAATAATCGAGTCTGAACCACACAATCCAGTGATTGACATCATCACCTCGTTACACACAATTTGGGATACAATGACTTGCATCAACCAAGTCTGCGAGCGTGACCATGCGTTCCCGTTAGTCACCTCTTACAACAAGGCTAGTCGCCTTTTACAGCAAGAATGGGTTGCTGAAGACCTATTCTACCCTGGATCTTCACGGGCTACAGTGTGAGTGAGTGAGTGAGTTGGATTTCACAGGTTCTGACATACCCTAGGCACATAACTATGCATACAGCACCTTAGATGACTTGTATTGTCTTAGTGCCAGAGGTAACACATTATGACCTTTGGAGTGAGTGAGTGAGTGAGTTGGGTTTCACAGGTTCTGACATACCCTAGGCACATAACTATGCACAGTGAATTACAGCACCTTAGATGACTTGTATTGTCTTAGTGCCAGAGGTAACACATTATGACGACCTTTGGAGTGAGTGAGTGAGTGAGTTGGGGTTAACGCCGCTTTTAACAGTATTCCAGTTATATCATGGCGTGTCAACTTAATGCAGGAGGTAAGTCCGAAGTGATGCAGGTTTCAGACTTTGGTGACACCCACGAGCACGGGTATGGTGCTGACAAACCTAGAAACATAATCAGGGTGAACTGGGATTCTAACCCACAATCATAGGTTTCTGGCTTGCCCAAGGGACGCAACTCTGCACAGCGAATCGCGGTGCCTTAGACGACTGGGCCACCCGTGGCCCCGCAACCATAATGGTATGTTTGAGCCATCTTCGAACTCTGTCCCCAATCGAATTTGATGAGAAACTGAATAATGCCCATGTGTTTGTACAAGTAACACAGCTTCATATGATATTATTTCAAAATCAGGAAGTGGCACCAGGAACTTATATTAACCATGCCTAATGCACTGTAATAGAAGAGATTTTATAAAAATTTAAAGTCATATCAGCAATATTTCTATACCAGTCACATTGTGACTTGAACAACTTTATATTAATATTATTTCTAAACATGCCATCAAAGGAGAGTATAATCACAAGTACATTTTCAAAGATTTAATTCAAACTAGTTGGAGAAAAATTAAAACAGAAAATTAGACGATACAAACTGTATGTCAGCAAGTTTAGCCGAAAAACAAAACAAACAATTATTCTACAATTAAAAGAGTACTATTAAAATAAAAGTAATTTTGAACACTGGATTAGGTGAAAAGAAACTAAGCAATATATTCATCCACGTCAGCTTCACTAGAAACACACCCCTCGCAATATTTTTTACTGACCAACAACAGCTGAAGAAAGTCCGGACTCACCCTGAAGAACACACTCTGTGGGGCGTCGTACAGGAAGGAGATGCCGATGATCTTTGGCTGTGGGTTGACGAGGGAGCCGACGTAGGCGTACAGCACCTGGATGTGCATCCCCAGTGACAGGAAGCAGTTGGAGCCGAGAGCCTGTGGAAGGATCAGTCAAGCACAAGCTTAAAACATTATTGTATTTACAGGAGCAAATACGTAGATTACATCAGAAACATAGATTATATTAACAGAAATAGAGACCCATGAAGATCCAGGTAGAGAATAGGTCTTCACCAACCAATGCTTGCCATAAAAGGTGACTATATCTGTCGTAAGAGATGACTAATGGGATTGGGTGGTCAGACTCGCTGACTTGGTTGATGCATGTCATTGTATCCCAACTGCTTAGATTGATGCTCATGATGTAAATCACTGGATTGTCTGGTCCAGACTTGATTATTTACAGACCGGCGTTAAACATCAAACAAACAAACAAACAAACAAACAAACATAAGAAATAGAGAAGACCCTGAGGGGACAACAACTTACAGCACTGAGAGGAGGTCGGTTCTGTACCAACACGGGAGTCCAGTCACCCACTTTCTTCACGTCCGAGTTGCCGAAGATGGCCACGTAGCGGTTAGTGGCGGGGTAGCCGCCTGTCGCGGGGTCGTACACCGGGGCTGTGCTGCCCTCCAGGGCATTGATGATGGCTTGTTGTATCATCTCACAGTTCGCCGACACGTTCACCATGGAAATCCTGGAACGAAGAACAGATCACAGTCACAAACAGAACACACAAGGAATTAAATGCATATTCTTCTGCTTATATGGTTAACAAGTCCCTCTAATAAAGGGAACAATCAGCCCCAGAAGGATTCAGACGATGAGACATTTCCTCTCGTACACAAACAAACAATTGCCTTGCTGTGCATTTAGCACCAAATGTTGACAGATTTCACTGAAATTCACAGGGAGAATCAAAACCTTACAAGGCAATATTATCTGGCAACAAAACAACAATAACAATAATTACAAAATTACACTATAATAATTCTGATTCTCATTTTCAATATGTTCAGTAACATTCAAAAAGATCTCAAATAGTGAGAAGGTTAATAGTTCATCGAAACAAAACTAACAGACATGATTTATTAACATTTCTGAATTTGTGCCTTGTTTTAGAAAGAGATGTCCTTGCAAGAAAGCGTCCTTGCTTTGAGCAAAGAAAGACACATTGTTGGTTATATTAATAAGAAATTGCTTGCAAAGGGTTGCTGAGGTTTTGTAAAGCACACAGAACACAAATCAGGTGAAATGAAGCAATGTTGGTGGCAGAGAGTTTCTGGGCTTCAGTCCTCCCTCACATTCAAACATAAGAAGTCTGCTTAAGTAGTGAGTGAGTTGGGTTTAACGCCGCTTTTAACAGTATTCCAGTTATATCGCGGCGTGTCAGCTTAATGTGGGAGGAAAGCCCGAAGTGATGCAGGTCTCGGACATTTATCATTTTGGTGAAACCCATGATCATGGGTATGGTGCTGACAAACCTAGAAACATAATCGGGGCGAACCGGGATTTGAACCCACAATCATAGGTTTCTGGCGTGCCTAAGGGATGCAAATCTGCACACCAAATCATGGCGCCTTAGACGACTGGGCCACCCATGCCCCCCCTACCTAAGCAAGAAACTTAGCTTGAAATAAGCATCTTTTCACCCAGCTCTATATACCAATTCTAAATAAATATGGTACATTGTTACAGCCCTAGAAACTTAAGGCTAAAAGAGCGAAATCCAGCTACTAGTATTCAATTTGTTTACCTAAGAACCAGGTGAGCTATAGAAAAACACATTTACATAACTCTATACAATTAACCCCCATCGCCTGATATCATCAATAATAACTGCTTGAAGCTCTCACAGTAACTGGTATATACTGAGTACCTATAACAGCGAAACTAACATGTTTAGCCCACTATAATGATAACATATAGCAAAACCCTTAAAAAGGACAAATTTGTACTAGTCGTTATCATACCTTAACTATTGGGCATGTTGGCAAGGACGACAGGACTAGTGCCAATTTCTAACGCTGTATAACATTACATTGTGAATACTTCACGGCCTGGACCCACCGAGACGGAAACCAGTGTGGGTTCTGACCAGATTACATCAGCAACATTTCATGTGCACATGAACTACAAGCTTGCTGAGAATTTGGGCAATGGTGTTTTGATGAAGGTCCTAAACATTCAATATTTAACAAAAGCAACATGACAAGGACACGTTCATCACTAGTTCCGAATGAATCAATGATGCTTATTGCCGTAGATGAAGAACATGACTGACTGTATGAAGCATCCCGAGCGTACATCATCCTTGAACTGGACCGAGACCCTGCCCTGGCTGGAGTCGGTGATGCAGTTGCCGTTTGCTGATCCTCGCACCATGGTCAGCCACTCGTCACGATTGGAGTTCAGAAGAATCTCCTGTCTGTGTCGGTCAAGGCAGGTAACTGGGATGTGACGGACTCAGGAGTGTATCCATCTCAGTGAGATCAGATCTTTTACTCAGATACCGTACCTCTCTGAGTGAAGACCTCCATAGCAGGACGCATCAGGTGAACTTTCAAATCAGCCAACTAATGTCTCAGTATGAGTGAGCAAAGCATTTAGACAAACATATCTGATTTCTTTATCTCAAAAGGGAGGTTAAATGTGGTTCTAAATGCAAAAATGCTTGAGATATCATATTGTCCTGGATATTTAATACATCCTGTTATTTGGGATTGAGTGAGTGAGTGAGTTGGGGTGAACGCCGCTTTTAACAGTATTCCAGTTATATCACGGCAGGTCAGCTTAATGTGGGAGGAAAGCCCCAAGTGATGCAGGTCTTAGACGTTTACCACTTCGGTGAAACCCACGAGCACAGGTATGGTGCTGACAAACCTAGAAACATAATCGGGTCGAACCGGGATTCGAACCCACAATCATAGGTTTCTGGCGCGCCCAAGGGACGCAACTCTGCACAGCGAATTGCGGCGCCTTAGACAACTGGTCCACCCGTGCCCCTATTTGTGATTGAAATTTCTGAATGAACGTGGTAAAGAAATGTAGCCAAAGTGTTTCAGATAGATGGTATCTGAATGACCCAAGAACTAGACCAAGAAACTTCATTTTATTTGGGTGGTCACAGTTTGTTCGGGGTTCATCTGACGTGGTCTTCCATGGAGGTGTCCTAGGATCTTCATGCAGCGAGTGAGTGAGTGAGTATGGTTTTATGCCGCTTTTAGCAATATTCCAGCAATATCACGGCGAGGGACACCAGAAATGGGCTTCACACATTGTACCCATGTTGGGAATCGAACCCTGGTCTTCGGTGTGACGAGCGAACGCTTTACCCACTAAGTTACCTGGTTGCCCCTCATGCAGAGAGGTATTGCATCGTAGATCAGTCAGCAATATGCCAGTTACGTGACGGCAGTTTGTAAATAATCAATTCTGGACCAGACAATCCAGTGATTGATATTACGCCCAACGATCAACATCATTGGGATATGATGACACGCAATCAATCAAGTCACCGAGTCTAACAACTGTATACATGAAGTTGCCTATTATGACCAGCATAGATGACAGGGGACCAATTCTAACCCAGAATCCCCAAGGGGACAAGAATCTACCCGTAACTCCCATTCATTGGACCAGCCAAAAAACACAGGAACAGATAACTAATTCAAAGGGTTATAACACATTGTCTTTAATGATTGTTGTTTAATGTGCATTCAGCAATATTCCAGCTATATGACGGCAACCTGTAAATAATTTAATCTGGACAAGACAATCCAGTTAAATACAACAATCCACGCGGTCGGGGTACAATGACACACAATCAGACAAGACTCTAAGCCCGACCACCTGATCCATTTGGTAGCTCTAACACTTTGTTCTTTAGTAATGTGCTATTGTTTAAAAGAGTGACTCCTGTGTTTAAGGCTCCAGGGACTTATTCTTACCGTGCCATTATGATTTCAATGATATACAATGAATTTCACACCAAGGAAAGGATACACTACATTTCCCTCTGCGTCAGTCTCGTTCAGCACTCCAGCCATGAGTGGCGCCCCCTGGATGTAGCCTGGATTGCCGCTCCGAACAAAGGGGGGACTGGCTTCGTTCATCTGACAAGAAAAGGAAGAGATAGATCAGGAATCCCTGCTGGAGGTCTCAAGTTGAAGAATCCATGTATCATTCAGCTCTTTGCTGTTGATAAATGTGCTGTAAAATATTAACATGATTGGAGCCACTTGAAAAAAAAAGACTTATTCTGTTCTTTTAGTTCTTGTGTAGGGATTTTTTTGGCATTTAGCTTTAAACATGCCTTTAAGATTTAGAACATATACTAGTAGATGAAGTTTCATACAATATAAAAAAATCATCATCATCATCATCATCATCAAGGGACAAATTCGAATCCAGAGTCCCCACCTGAATTTTGATGGAGAAAGGAGTGAGTGAACTGTGTTTAACACCACGTTTAACAATATTCCAGTTATATCATGGCTGTCAGCTTAATGTGGGAGGAAAGCCCGAAGTGATGCAGGTCTTACACGTTCACCACTTCGGTGAAACCTCAAGCACGGTTATGGTGCTGACAAACCGGGATTCGAACCCACAATCATAGGTTTCTGGCATACCCAAGGGATGCAACTCTGCACACCGAATTGCGGCGCCTTAGATGACTGGGCCACCCGTGCCACTTCGGTGAAACCCACGAGCACAGGTATGGTGCTGACAAACTTAGAAACATAATCGGGGCAAACCGGGATTCGAACCCACAATCATAAGTTTCTGGCATACCCAAGGGATGCAACTCTGCACACCAAATTGCGGCGCCTTAGATGACTGGGCCACCCGTGCCACTTCGGTGAAACCCACGAGCACAGGTATGGTGCTGACAAACTTAGAAACATAATCGGGGTGAACCGGGATTCGAACCCACAATCATAGGTTTCTGGCTTGCCCAAGGGACGCAACTCTGCACAGCGAATTGCGGTGCCTTAGACGTGCCCCTCATGGAATAAGGAAGCATTGTTGATGACACTGTTGGTACAACTTCTGCTGTACATCATGTTATAGATCGTGGCACAGTTTACCTACCCCTCTAAAGGAGGTTGAGAAGCTCTGAACGAAGTGCTGGTTTGTTGCAGGAATACTGGCCAATGTCAGCTGTGCAAAGACTGACACGATGCCCGATGTTCCATTGTGGATGACTCGATAGCTGACCTAGAGAAGACAAATATTTAGTAAATCGAAAACTGCTGGGATGTATCTACAGTCTTAAGTGTCCTGTGTTATCGGGGACTGTGTTTTATAAGGGAAGCGGATGACATGATATCTACAGTCTTAAGTGTCCTGTGTTATGGTGAGGTGAGGTGAGGTGAAATTGGGTTTAAAGTTGCGTCCAAGATTATTGCACTTATATAGCGACGTGCATGCACGTGTATGTGTGTGTGTGGCTGCTTGTACTAGTCCGGACTGATGCCGATATATAGTGCTAGCTCACTGAGATACCATGCCACAGTGTAACATGAATACCCCACTCAGACACAGTATACTGACTCCGAGCTGACCAGTCCTTGTTTTAGCCCCTTAATGTCGAGCGCCAGACAGGGTAACAACAAGTACCATCTTTTAACGTCTTTTGGTATGACGCGGCCAGGGTTCGAACCCCGGACCTTCCGCTCTCTGGGCGGACGCTCTACCACAAGACCACGGAGGCGGCCCTGTGTTATGGTGGACTGTGTTGAATAAGGCAGCGGATGACATGATAGGTGACCAACATAAACTTGACAATGTCAGTTACAAAAGAATGTCGGTCATGAAAGCCTTTTCGGGTCATGAAAGCCTTTTCAGCCAGTCTCAGCGATCTCATCCTCAATACTCCCATGCATTATATCTCATTCAGCCATGGACCCATTCACTGCCATACGTATGTGTTGAGTCTTGTTGGAATGACATGGCACTAAAGATAAACGTCCAATCAAATACACTGTTACTTGATGATCGAAGTAAGTGCCATGTTGTGTGCCATCTCAAATACAGTTGGGAATATCTCATAGGACACCGACAGCCCGGTTCATATTCAAGGATACATTTTTATCAGCTAAAACTGTTTTGATTTGATTAAATAAATCTCATTCCCAACATATTTGCTTCCAAGCCTTTGTTTTGTGTCACGTTCAAATGACACATCACTAAAAATAAACACTCTTTTATTTCATCATTGAAGCAAGTATTTTATTATCGGTACTAGACTCATCTTGTTTTCTGCCGATTCATATATGACTGGGAACGTTTGACAGGATAAGGATATCCCTACCCCTTTAGGAAAACAATTTTTCCATCTGAAAGATCATTTATCAAAGATGTTTGATTTGACAACATGCAATCGAAGGCTGAAAGTTGTATTAAACTGAAAATAACTTTTTAGCATAAAACGTGTGTATGAACGAACAAACCCTCGCAACAGCATTGTTACACTGCAGTGAGACAGCATCCCATGCAGGCACCGGGGGAGTGACGACACCACAAGGGGAGACAACTCCATTGGGATCCTCACACAGGATGGGGTCCAGCTCGACTGGCACAGTGAAGGAGTTGTTGTACAAGTCAGTCACTCCAGACAGGTCCACGGCAGCTGGAAGAAAATGAAATGCCAATAATCTATGAGGTGAGGTGAGGTGAGGTGAGGTGAGGTGAGGTGAGGTGAGGTGAGGTGAGGTGAAATGGGGAGTCCTTGTTTTATCCCCTTAATGTCAAGTGCCAGGCAGGGTAACAACAAGTAACATCTTTTAGTATGACTCGGCCCAGAAATCAAACCATTGAAATTGTTTTTTAGGAGTGAATGTTAACAACATCATTTAAGGAATAAACAACTCGTGGTTGTCGTTTATCGTAAAAAAAACCACAGGTTTATTCCCCCGTAGTGTTTTATTGAACGATAAACAACGACCACGAGTTGTTATTTCCTATCAGAGACATCATCATTATTTACAGCCTCTTTAAGGATGACGATAAAATATGCAAGCTTTAAAAATATTTACCCGTATATTAATAATGATGACTTCCTTGGCAATGTCAGACAAGACCATTTTATGCACAGGAGGATATTTCCTGCATATTCTCACAATCTTCCCTTCTATTACCTGTACCTTTTCTCCCAATACTTATTGTCATTTATCATTATTTTTTCATGTGATCATTTCTGTCATCGTGTTTATCTGTGTTGCCAAGCTACATCTATGGGGAACAACTCACTAGACAACCCACTCTCAAAAATAACGTTGTCCAATATATGACGTCCTCAAGTTGCGAGCGTATGTTTGATTCTCCAGAAATGATGTCATTTTAGAACAATGTTTTATCATGAAATAAACCATGCTTTATTCTTCATTATTCTTTGTGATTTATCATGTAGATATCTTATATATGTGCATAAGTGTAGACACATTGAAAGATTAGTCTGCAGCAACAATGGTTGACAATCAAAGCAGACAAAATATGACCAAACAGAAAAGAAAGCAGACACAGGTTTAAAAGGAAAAGCTAGCTGTTCTAGTATTGAATTTAATTACAACACATTCTGCGAATATGCCGGGAGGTTATTATTGTTTGTTTGTTTGTTTCTTGTTTAACGCTGCCCTCAGCAATATTCCATCTATATGACGGTGGTCTGAAAATAATCATTTTGATTGGGTGGTCCAAGGTTGCTGCGGGTTCACCTGACGCGGCCTTCTATGGAGGTGTCCTAGGATCTCCATGTAGTGAGGTACCGGTATTGTATTGGAGTAACAGAAAAGATCACTTAGCAATATGCCAGTGACATGATGGCAGTTTGTAAATAATCAATTCGGGACCAGACAATCCAGTGATTGACATCATGAGCATCGATCCACATAATTCGGATACGATGACATGCATCAACCAAGTCAGCGAGCCTGACCACCCGATCCTGTTAGTCGCCTCTTACGACAAACACAGTCACCTTTTACGGTAAGCATGGGTTGCTGAAGACCTATTCTATCCCGGAATCTTCACAGGTCTCCAGGAGGTCATTAAATGAGGAGTAATGTAATTTAGCAAGTGTATCATCTTGTTCAGATACAGACAAACAAATGTATCATGTATCGCATCGGCGCATGAAAAGTCCCGATGCACCGATGTACCGTTTCACCTGTACCACACATACCTGTGTTAAGTGACTGCAGGTATATTGTGTCGTTCCGAAGGGAATCATTCACTGGGGTGTACCTCTGGAACAGCGCTGGCGTCTGAAATGTAGGACATTAGTTAGTGGTTGGACGATACACCGATGCATCAGTGGATCGCGATATTTTACTTCTCGATACAAGTATCAATAACAGTTGTACACTAATTAAAAAGAATCGATTCTTAACTTAAATGTTTTCTTGAATATATTACACCAAACACTAATTACAAGTGAAAATGAGTAGTACTAGTGAAAATGAGTAGTGAAAATGTAAATATGTTCATCCATTGTGCCATACCTGACACTGCCAACTGTTAATCTGTTAATCTGTGCCAGGTATTTGGCAATCCTGTCCGTAAAAAAAACGGCTTACGCACCACAGATCAGTGTACATGCAAATATCACGATACGTATCGGATCGTGAACAAGGTATCGTGATACATATCGGATCGCACAGGTGGTGTATCGTCCCAGCCCTACAGTGTTCCTCCCAAACCATTAAATGCTACAGTTGGTCATTCATTGTGGTGGCACGTTGTCCTGTGTACAGTGCACAGAACACAAATCAGGTGAAGTTAGTGAGTGAGTGAGTTGGGTTTAACACTGCTTTTAACAGTATTCCAGTCATATCACGGCGTGTCAGCTTAATGAGGGAGGAAAGCCCGAAATGATGCAGGTCTCAGACATTTACCACTTCTGCGAAACCCCCGAGCACGGGTATGGTGCTGACAAACCTAGAAACATAATTGGGGCGAACCGGGATTCAAACCCACAATCACAGGTTTCTGGCGTGCCCAAGGGACGCAACTCTGCACAGCGAATCGCAGCGCCTTAGACGTCAGGTGAAGTTAAGCAACATTGGTCATAGAGGGTAGGTGGATGGGTGACTGTGTTTAACAACTTGACCCCTGAGAGTTTCTAGGCTTCAGTTCTGCCGCACAGTGATATGCCTCTGTTTACCAAGCTCAATTCACCAATTCTTTGGTACCATATTTTCTTGAGTACAATGCACATATTTTGCCAAACATTACAGCTCTGTGGAAGAGGTTACTTATAATACACCGAAAATATTAACATCAGCATGTAACACTGGAAATAACATATCAACTAGGACTTAAAAACATAAAAGAATTGGTTCTCAGGCAATGGTTTTGGAAAATATAGTGCGGGCAAGCGGTGTCATTTTTTGTTATTGTTGTTGTTCAAACTAGTATGTAACCAATAAACAAGTTTTGTACACAACAAACAATTGTGTACAATTAATCTGGGAAAGGGCCTCCCTCCATAAATGTATTCCTTGAGTAAAATACAGTATTTGACAACCTTTGGAATATTTAAGGATTTTGGTGGGTTTTTTTAAAAATGGAAATAAAAGTGAAACGTGTGGCGAACTTTATGATGATGCGGGCGGTGCCTCTCCGAAACGAATCCTACTCTCACTTGAAACTTGTTGCCTTGGAAACACAAAACATTTTTTTTAAACGTTCCTGAATAACAAGAGGCACCATTTCGGTAGATGCCTGATGTGTATTATACGTTTTACTAAACACAACATGAAAACCAAATGGTTTACGGGTTATGCTCTGGAAACAAAGGGTGACGAAACAGAGCCTATTTCTGTATGTCCCACCAAACTTTGGGTATACACAGTATATACATAACCTGGGCTGTATTGATGATGTATTCATGGGTGATGGAGGACAAAGTATATACAAAACCTGGGCAGTATTGATGATGTATTCATGGGTGATGGAGGAACACAGTATATACATAACCTGGGCAGTATTGATGATGTATTCATGGGTGATGGAGGACAAAGTATATACAAAACCTGGGCAGTATTGATGATGTATTCATGGGTGATGGAGGAACACAGTATATACATAACCTGGGCAGTATTGATGATGTATTCATGGGTGATGGAGGACAAAGTATATACAAAACCTGGGCAGTATTGATTATGTATTCATGGGTGATGGAGGAACACAGTATATACATAACCTGGGCAGTATTGATGATGTATTCATGGGTGATGGAGGACAAAGTATATACAAAACCTGGGCAGTATTGATGATGTATTCATGGGTGATGGAGGAACACAGTATATACATAACCTGGGCAGTATTGATGATGTATTCATGGGTGATGGAGGACAAAGTATATACAAAACCTGGGCAGTATTGATGATGTATTCATGGGTGATGGAGGAACACAGTATATACATAACCTGGGCAGTATTGATGATGTATTCATGGGTGATGGAGGACAAAGTATATACAAAACCTGGGCAGTATTGATGATGTATTCATGGGTGATGGAGGAACACAGTATATACATAACCTGGGCAGTATTGATGATGTATTCATGGGTGATGGAGGACAAAGTATATACAAAACCTGGGCAGTATTGATGATGTATTCATGGGTGATGGAGGAACAAAGTATATACAAAACCTGGGCAGTATTGATGATGTATTCATGGGTGATGAAGGGACACAGTACATACAAAACCTGGGCAGTATTGATGATGTATTCATGGGTGATGGAGGACAAAGTATATACAAAACCTGGGCAGTATTGATGATGTATTCATGGGTGATGGAGGAACAAAGTATATACATAACCTGGGCAGTATTGATGATGTATTCATGGGTGATGGAGGACAAAGTATATACAAAACCTGGGCAGTATTGATGATGTATTCATGGGTGATGGAGGAACACAGTATATACAAAACCTGGGCAGTATTGATGATGTATTCATGGGTGATGGAGGAACACAGTATACACAAAACCTGGGCAGTATTGATGATGTATTCATGGGTGATGGAGGAACACAGTATATACAAAACCTGGGCAGTATTGATGATGTATTCATGGGTGATGGAGGAACACAGTATATACAAAACCTTGGGCAGTATTGATGATGTATTCATGGGTGATGGAGGAACAAAGTATATACAAAATCTGGGCAGTATTGATGATGTATTCATGGGTGATGAAGGGACACAGTACATACAAAACCTGGGCAGTATTGATGATGTATTCATGGGTGATGGAGGAACACAGTATATACAAAACCTGGGCAGTATTGATGATGTATTCATGGGTGATGGAGGAACAAAGTATATACAAAACCTGGGCAGTATTGATGATGTATTCATGGGTGATGGAGGAACACAGTATATACAAAACCTGGGCAGTATTGATGATGTATTCATGGGTGATGGAGGACACAGTATATACAAAACCTGGGCAGTATTGATGATGTATTCATGGGTGATGGAGGACAAAGTATATACAAAACCTGGGCAGTATTGATGATGTATTCATGGGTGATGGAGGACACAGTATATACAAAACCTGGGCAGTATTGATGATGTATTCATGGGGGATGGAGGAACAAATTATATACAAAACCTGGGCAGTATTGATGATGTATTCGTGGGTGATGGAGGAACACAGTATATACAAAACCTGGGCAGTATTGATGATGTATTCATGGGTGATGGAGAAACGGAGTGTATATCAAACTTGTGCAGTCTTAATGATGCTACAGTTACCATGGTTACTGATCTGACAAATAAAGCTTACTGTGACAACCCTGAAGCCCTGGTAGAAGGTGTCGGCACTGAGTGCCATGACACTCGTACACTCCGTGGCCAGGGTAGACAAAAGACGCACACAGTCATGAGACTCGTCTTGTAGATAGGCTGAAACACAGACACATGACATCACAGCAGTCCTTTGGTAATGAGAAGACAACATTTCACATAAATATCTCTACATATTAGTAAACACGACACTCAACTCAATCGTACCTTTCCCACTGATAGCACTAGTGAATCCAAAATAATGCCAATATGTTGCACTTATAAACCACCTTCAACAGTTGAGGACGTAACATTTGCCATCGTGTTGAAATATGTTTACTTCTTTGAAACTGTGCAAACCGTCTCGCGTACAAGTGACTGGTCGACAAGCCGACAAAGGGAGGTAACCGATGCCTGACTAAAATGTTCAATCAGAACATCCGTCTTGTTACACTAAATGCGTCTGAATCAGAATGGTGCGTATAATATCTACCATATTTATTTAGCGCATAGTTTCGTGGTTAGAACAAGGAGGAAATGTATTTTGATCACGTATAAGGAAAACAATTTTGCAATGGGTAATATATTATTAGGTGGAAGTAAAATTGTTCAATACCTGCCCTAGTGATTAACAACAAGAGGTCTGGCACTGACCTAATTTGTATCCTTTGTTACAAGAAGAGTTACTAAAATTAAAGAGTGAGTTGAGTTAATTCCGGACATATCCTATAATATCCAAGGACATCAGGGGTATTGTTTTCAGTAATCTCATTGAGCATTATAATTATTGCTTTATGCTGATTCAATTGTTCATACAAATTGTTCCACTGCTTTCGTTTACGAAGCAGCCCATAGCAATGTGATATCATGTGAACACATTGTCGCGAATAGTCCAAGATGACATCATCCTTTGTCCACAGCATGCAAAACAGTTTTAGGTGACGGCGTTCCAACAACAGATCAACTGATCTGATGTCAATTGTTCCATTTTCTCATTTTCTACTTATGACGGCGGTCTCTGAATAATCGAGTCTGGACCAGACAATCCAGTGATTGACATCATGAGCATCGATCCACGCAATTGGGATCGATGACATGCATCAACATGCATCAACCAAGTCAGAGAGCCTGACCACCCGATCCCATTGGTCGCCTTTTACGACAAGCATAGTCGCCTTTTACGGCAAGCATGGGTTGCTGAAGACCTATTCTACCCCAGATCTTCACGGGTCTACTTACATGAATTGGTCTCTCAACAAATCAACAACCATGGTATTTGGTTTTATTCAGTAGGTAAGACGTTATAGAGAATAACCAACTAATAAATTACCAATTATCTGTCTCAAACGAACTAATGTTGAAAGTTCCTTGCCAAGGTCGCTGCGAAATTGCTGATGCGGCATTAAGCAGTGATCACTCACTCACTCATTGCCATGGCTTGGAACTTACAATATTAATACACTTGTATTCCTTGTAGTATTTTCGCTAAATAGTCTTCAATAATGACAGATACCATTCAGACAAATAGGCACTGATGCTTTAAGCACAGGCTGAAATTAAAATTGAAATCAGATCTTAAACAAAGATCTAAGGACGTCCCATTACGGGTCACATCAGAACAACCTTCAAGAGACTTTTGACTGACCAATGAAAAGACTAACAAGAAGTTGACAGTGGCCAATCAGAAAGCAGCTTTCACAAGCTTTACAGAACTAGTTTTCAACTGGCGACTTCCATTCCAGACTACTCTTGGAAGAACATTGACTCAAATTTTGTAAACTGAACAATGGAAAAGTGTAATAGATGCCCGAGATTTTTCGGCTATGTAAAGTCTCATCAGTTTGAAATGTTTATCCCATCTGCTGTACAGCTCATAGGGGGCACAGGTGGCCCAGTCGTCTAAGGCGCCGCGAGTCGCTGTGCAGAGTTGCGTCACTTGGGCATGCTAGAAACCTATGATTGTGGGTTCGAATCCCGGTTCGCCCCTATTATGTTTCTAGGTTTGCCAGCACCATTCCTGTGCTTGTGGGTTTCACCGAAGTGGTGAACGTCTGAGACCTGCATCACTTTCCTCCCACATTAAGCTGACACGCCGTGATATAACTGGAATAATGTTAAAAGCGGCGTTAATCCCAACTCACTCACTCACTGTACAGCTCATCACCCTCGGAATTCCCCGTGTTAACCATTTTGAGCTTGTATGACTAGAAAACACATCCCCACTGTCACTTTCCCGATCTGGTAAGCGGATGATTGGTCGGAAGAAAGTTCGTTCTGACGTGACATGTAAGGTATGACCTCAGATTTTTGCTTAGCTGTAGAGAGAAAAGATCTGATTTTAATGAGATTGGAGAAAGTTTCAAGTGTTGTGACAATACCCAGAGTTATCTCCCTTGGGGAACTCACCGACTGGGTTGCCATCAGCACAGAATGTTGACGACAACGACTTCGGCAGTCCTAGGTTCCCCTGTGCCTGGCTGGGGAACACTGTGTAGATTGAATCTCCCGACTGGAACAAAATAATTTTATGTAAGTGAACACAATCTTATGCCAAAGAAATAATATTTGACACAACACATACTTTTGAAAGTTTGTGCTAATGACCCTAAGCTTCAAAATGTTAATCAATTTCTAAAAAGAGTCATTAAATGATTTAATTGTGGCGAGTGTACGCCATCATGATGACCCCAGGACCCCTATTAATTTCTTACACTTGTCATCTCATCCATTCTTTGCTGGATGAACAGAGGCACATTTCGAACAGAGTCACCTGCCCAAGGAGAAGCTACATGTGTTACATGTGCTTCAGTGTGGGGCAGGACCAAAGGCCTAGAAACACCCAGGAGTCAAGCTGCCGAAACATGGTCCAACTATAGTCTGGAGTGAGTGAGTGAGTGAGTGAGTGAGTATGGTTTTACGCCGCTTTTAGCAATATTCCAGCAATATCACGGCGGGGGACACCAGAAATGGGCTTACACCATATGACACAGTTGAACCAATCAACTCAACTTGAAAGGTTGCACGGGAATCAGTGTTAGCGTTGGGCGTCTCAACGTGAGTGATTCCCGTGATTGGTTCAACTGTGTCATGTGACCCTGTGACGCAGGGGTAGCATTATGCAGATGGCTGTTTCAATGAATGCTCGTTCCACCTGTGACGAACAGGTCTGGTTGTTGATGAAATAAAGTGATAGCTAAATAGACAGATTTTTTATTCATGCACCGATTGTCTTTAAATGTAATATCCAGTTATGTACGACTGTTTAATAATCTCACACCAACTTTGACTGGAGTAGGTCCAATAGTTTTTCAGATATTGTAGTAAACGTCGGTACCTTAAATTACCTTCCAGACTATACTCTCCGAGACCAATCGTAGCTTAACTTCACCTGATTTGTGACCTGTGCGCTGGACCATTTTATAGGAATCATTATTCCCTTCATCCCCATTATCCAGAGTGTTATACATGGTATATCTCCACTGTAATGCGATAAATAACCCTAGACCAATTCACCACAATAAATAGCTGTTGAGTATCAGTTGGAATGACATGATGCTAAAATTAAACCCCAAAATTTCTCTTCCAGCTAGTTCATTTAATATCTTCTTTCAATGTATTCAACATTTGATTCACCTGGTAGTAGTCTGGGTAGGATGTTGGTACAGGGGAGGCCTCAGGCAGGAAGGAGAAACTTCCATAGTCGGCCACGTACTTGTTGAATGTGGCGTCGGTACTGACCAGGTTGGGGTTGTTGTAGAAGTTGCGCTGCGCCCCTGTAAACACCAACGACACAAGGATTGCCTCAGTCCTAAATACTAGCTACAGTTGAAAGGTCAACATGAAACTGAAGACATCCATGCAGCTCTGTTCATTCATTCATTCATTCATTCATTCATTCATTCATTCATTCATTCATTCATTCATTCATTCATTCATTCATTCATGTTGGTTTAATTAGTAGTGGGGCGATACACTTATTCATCGGTGGATCGCGATCTTTAACTTTTCGATACAAGTATCGATCACAGTCTAAAAAATATTGATTCTTACCTCAAATGTTTGCTTTAATAGCTGTTACACCAATCATTAACAAGCGTATAGTCGACGAAGTCATCTATATCCCCCGCCCATTTTAACACGTTATGGTCCGAAACCAGGTAACTGACCCAACATTTCTCTTAGCCCATGTCAAAAAAGCTGCAGTGGAAATTCTTAAATAAACATTTCTAAAACTACATAATATCGAATGGCACCAGTTCAGTGTGTGCTTTATAAATAGACATGCAATGTTTGGCAAGGAAATATTTAACAGTTTATTTGTTATACTCTATAAGTGAACCCACCCTATATCAAAACTTAAATCCAACTTGTTGTCATGAAAACATAAACAATAAAAATTTCTAAAAGTGCTAAGTATCAAAAGGCACCAGTTCAGTATGTGCCTGGTAGACATGCAAAGTTTTGTAAGAAAGTATTAAACTGGGTTTGAGCTCCGGAAATGAACACCACCCTTGTAGAACCTAAGTCCAACTTGTTCTACAAGGGTGGTAACGTAAAAAATAAAATAATTCAAAAATTCCTAAATAAGAAAAGGCACCAGTTCAGTATGTGTCTGGTAAACATGCAAAGTTTTGTAAGAAAGTATTTAACGGTTTTTGAGTTATGCTCCGGAATTGAACACTACCCTTATAGAACCTAAGTCCAACTTGTTGCCATGGAAACATAAAAAATAAAATTTTCTAAAATTCCTAAATAGCAAAAGGCACCAGTTCAGCATGAGTCTGATAGACATGCAAAGTTTTGTAGAGAAATATTAACGGTTTCTGAGTTATTCTGGAAACGATTTCGGGACGCACGGAACCCATTTCAGTATCCCCGCCAACTTCATTGGGGCAGGGAATAATTAGGAGTGAAAATAAGCAATGAAAAGGTAAATATTTTCATCCATTGCGATATACTTGTCACTGCAAACTGTAAATCATCTGTGTGCAAGGTATTTGGCCATTGTGTCTATGAAAATGATGGCTTACATGCCACAGATAAGAGTACATGCAAGTATCGTGATACATAACAGATCGTGAGTGAAATATTGTAATATGTATCAGACAACAGTTGGTGTATCGTCCCAGCCCTGGGCTTAATGCTCCACTGTACAGTATTTACACTGGCATGTCAGCTTGACTTTGGTATGATCACAGTAATCTGAATCAACAATCACAGGTTTCTGGCATGCCTAAGGGAAGCAACTCTGCAGACCAACTTTGCACCGCATTAGATGTCAAGGCCACCTGTGCCACCTGTGCCACCTTTAGTTATTTATGAGTAACACCATTATTGTGTTTACATAGCAGTGTTCATCCTTGCTGGGGAAAATGGGGTTTCATTATCTTATCAACTTTTGATAGGAATTATTTTATATCAATACCAAATCTGAAAGTTATAATCAACTGGACATTTTGCATGACAATCAGTCATTGTTCTAGAACATGTAATGATACTTACGATTATCAAAATAGATGCAGAAGAGTTTGTCTGAGGTGATGTTAGAGAAATATGGAGAATTTTCGAGGAGTATCACTTGTTCTTGAAGGCACAAGCGGTCATCAACACTATAAAAGAGAGTTGTTGATTTTCATATGCCACAAATATGCAATGCTCATCACGATAGAACAGACACACACATCAAACAAAATGCTTGTTTCAAGAAATGTTCAACATGTTCAATGGTTTACGAAATGGAAGGCTACATACTTAAAGGATAATGAGGTGAGGTGAAATGGGGTTTAACGTCGCGTCCAAGATTATTGCACTTATATAGCGATGTGCATGCACGTGTGTGTGTTTGTGTGGCTGCTTGTACTAGTCCGGACTGATGCTGATTTATAGTGGTAGCTCACTGAGATATCATGCCGCAGTTTAACATGAATACCCCACTCAGACACAGTATACTGACTCCGAGCCGACCAGTCCTTGCTTTAGCCCCTTAATGCCGAGCGCAAGACAGGGTAACAACAAGTACCATCTTTTAACGTTGTGGTATGACGCGGCCGGGGATCGAACCCCGGACCTTCCGCTCTCCGGGCGGACGCTCTACCACAAGACCACGGAGTAAAGGATAATGAATAGTGAGTGAACAGTACTCCAGTCATATCACAGCGTGTCAGCTTAATGTGGGAGAAAAGCCTGAAGTGATGCAGGTCTCAGATGTTTACCACTTTGGTGAAACCCAGAAGGATGGGTATGGTGCTGCCAAACCTGGAAACATTACCAGAGTGAACCAGGATTCGACCCCACAATCATAAGTTTAAGGTGGGACCAATGGACGAAAATCAGCACAAGAAGTTTAGGAGCCTCAGATGATTGGGCACCCATGCCTCCAAACAAATAGTAAGTCCTTGGGTGGAGAAAAAACTTGGTCACAGACAGGAGTACAAGGCCCTGCCCCCTTCTTTGTTGTTTTCTGCTGCACTCAACATATTCCATCACTCCAAGGGAAACCTGTATATATCAAGTCCTGGGTCCCGTTCCAAAAAGCGATCGTAGCCGTAAGACGATCGTAACTCCCATACTTTAACATAGACTTACGACAGTCTTAGCGCTAAGATCGCATAGTGGAACGGCGCCCTGGCCAGAAAAACCAGTGACTGATATTTTGAACAACTCCCCACGCTGCTGGTGTACGCTAACATGTTACCAACAAAGTTACCAAGTCTGACCACCTGATCCATTAAGTCGGTTCTTATGACCAGTAGGGTTGTAACGACTCACCAGTACCTACAATATCATCGATACTAAGGTACAGACAATACTTCATCGTCAGCTTGTGAGATCATGATATACAATATACAGAAACTGATAGAATTACCTCCCATAATGGCAGAAGTAGCAGAGCACAACTTGTAAGCATGGCGGAACACGAGGACATGGTAATAGAGGACGTGACTGCTTTTAAACTATTACATGTAATAACCATCCCTTCATTTAAAACTGTTTTGTTCTTGTTGTTTATGTTAACAAGGTTTCGTTTTTGAGATAATAATCCGTAAATTATTTAATCCAGAGGTTTCAGAGTTAAATTTCAGTGATTTCATCATTTTTAGTAAAATCTAAATATTTTTTACATTTGTATACTTATCCTGCATTACTCCGTATTGCATTTACTGCTGTCTTTGACAGAGAGACGAACTGTGTGAGATCCAGCTGCTGAAGAAAGTTGTTTCCATCTGTCCAGGAAGCAGCGCCCCCTCCCACACAGTCGGCACGTGACCCGGAAGACAAAACTCATAACTGCTTTAACATAACATCGGAAACTTCGTGGGGAGGAAGCGGAGCGCAGGGGGGGCACTTAGACTTCGTAATGCAGGATAAGTATACAAATGTAAAAAATATTTAGATTTTACTAAATTTTTTAACTTATTCTGCATTACTCCGTATTGCATCTTTATCGGACGGCACGGCCGGTGGGCATACCTTCAGACGTGAGCCAGAAGAAAAACCCTCGACAAAGGTCCTATGAAATCGCACCGCATGGACAAGAGATGACCGGAACACCAGCGACCATTCCTGTCAAAGGAAACGAGAGTCGATGCAAAAGAGGGAACCCGAAATAGGTGACAGAAATAGTATGAGGCGGGAATGCCAAAACTAGCACTGACCTAAGAGCGAATGCGGAACGCAGTAGAGCCCTCTAATCTGTGGTGACAAACACCAGAGAGTTCGACGGGCCCCACTCAGGGTAACGGAGAATCAGTGGCGTCGGGGGTTGGTGACCTGTTGAGCTACCACAAGGGGGGACCAAAGCCAAGAACGCCAGCGACATCTTCCAAGGCTACATCACGGAGGTAGTGGTTGGCGAAAACGGTGTCAGAACGCCAAAAACAGCCTTCCATGATAGATTTGAGGGAACAGTTACTGTGCAGAGCCATGGTAGACGCGACCGCCCGAATCTCGTGGGGGTTGTTAGCCTTGGGGGGGTCCAATCCGGCGACTTTATAAGCTACGAGGATGACCGCCCGGAGCCACAGGGAGATAGTATTCCGGCTGACCTCCGACAGCGACGAAGGGGAGACCGGTACGAAAAGACGTTTCCTAGACTTACGGCAGGATCGTCTAGATCGTCGCAGGAAAACCTTCAGGGCCCTAACTGGGCATAATAAAAGCTCCTCCACGTCGTCGGCACCCACAATCGACTAAGGTTCGAACCTGACCCGAGAGACGTCGAGGGTGTGGAGCTCACTAACCCGGGCGGCCGTAGCCAAGGCCAGTAGAAACACCGTCTTCTTCGTTAAGTCGTAAAAGGAAGACGTGTGGAGTGGTTCAAAGGGAGCCTCCCGAAGAGTCTTTAAGACCACATTCAGATCCCACGCAGGTGGTCTGAACTTGGCTTTCTGGTCGTCGAGACGAAACGAGCGCAGCATAGCCTGGAGTTCGGGAATTTTCGTCATTCTCCGGTCGTCCGGGATGGCAAGGACGGAGTTAATGGCGACCAGGTACGTGGAGATGGTAGAGCCTTTTAATCGACGCGTGCTGCGCAAGTACAGAAGAAACTCAGCCAGGAACTGCGGGGTACCGTCATCGGATCCTGATGCTTGTCAGAGCAGAACGCCTGGAATGAGGACCATTTATCATCATATAGTCCCCGTGTAGATGGACGATGGGCGAAAGCAATAGCCTTGGCTGCTCTAGTCGAATAGCCCTTGGCTCCTAGGGCTTTTTGCAGATGTGCCAGGCGTGCAGATGAAACCGAGCGGGACTTGGGTGGGGCAACCGACTGTGTGGGTGGAGCAGAAGGTTGGACCACGCTGGCAGTTCTAGAGGGTTGTCTCTGGCGACGTTTCGGAGGTCGACAAACCAACTTCTGGCCGGCCACCAAGGCGCGACCAAAATCAGTGTCAAGTGTCGAGTGGCCTGGATCTTTTGAAGAACCCTGGGAAGGAGAACCGGAGGCGGAAAAGCGTACGCGCTTAATCCCTCCCAGGGAACACTGAAGGCGTCGACTGCTACAGCGGCCGGATCCGGGACCGGCGAGATGTAAGTCGGCAGCTGGCAGTTCTGAGACGTGGCGAACAGATCGATGTTTGGAGTGGCGATCGTTTGACAAAGGACTGTGAAGATCTCTGGGTGGAGTCGCCATTCGGTGGGAGCCACCTTGTCCGGCCTGGACAGAGCGTCTGCCAGAACATTCTTGCAACCTGGAATGTGCTGAACAAGGAATTGCAAGTCTAAGCGGTCCACCAGGTCGAAGAATCGGAAGGTCTGGTTGAGCAGGGACTGAGAGTGGAGAATACCCTGATTCCTCAGACACCACACCACGGTGATGTTGTCCGTGGAGATGGTCAACTGGGCGTGACGGAGAATGCTCTGCCAGTGGGAGACGGCCAGTATGAGAGCTTCGAGTTCAAGGTTGTTGCTGTGCCAGTGGAGTCGATCTCCGGACCACAGCCCTGCAACTGTTTGAGTCCCCAGATGAGCCCCCTAACCCTGTTTGGATGCGTTGACGAACAGGTGGAGGGAGGGCTGTAGCGCGGTCAAGGAGACGCCGCCGCAGATGTTCGATTCCACCGTCCACCATCGGAGAAAGGGGTGGAGGTGGACCGGGAGGACGATGAGGGACTCCGGATCCTGCTGCCGGATAAAGGGTGCGAGAAACCGTTGAATTGGACGGAGTTGGAGGCGACCTCTGGCAGTCAGGTCTTGAGCCGACGTGAGGAGACCCAATAGAACCTGCCATTGGCGGAGAGTTCGAGCCTGTTGAAGGGCAGGGAAGAGATGAGCGAGGATTTTCAACCACCTGTCTCTGGGGACTTGAAGGAGGTCCTGATCCGTGAGAAACAGGCCCCCGATAAACTGCAGTCGGAACGATGGGGTCAGCTCCGACTTGGTCTGATTGACGATCCAACCCAACTGATTGAAGAGCCGCAGGGTAAAATCCCTGTGACGCAGTAGCAACGCCGAGTCCCGATTGTTGAGGAGACAATCGTCGATGTATGGATCGAAGTTGATGTTCCTCAGGTGTAGGTAGGCGGCGACCGGGCGGGTGATCCGTGTGAAAAGCCACGGGGCCGTTGAAATTCCAAATGGTAGGACCGCCCACTGGTAATGGGTACCATTGAAAAAGAACCTGAGGAAGCGCCGGTCGTTGGGGTAGATGGGTACATGAAGATAGGCGTCCTGGATGTCGAGGCTGATCAGGGAATCGCCAGCTGAGATTCTCGTCCTGAGCAGTCGCAACGTCGTCATGCGGAAGTAGGGAGGACGTTCCAGGTAGTGCCGGTTGAAAGTGGAGAGTTTGTGTATCATGCGCCAGCTGGTGGTCCCCTTCTTGGGCACCAGAAACACCGGAGAGTAAAATCCTGGGTGTCGAGCCGGGTCGTGTACGATCTCTATGGCCTCCTTCTGCAGTAGGGAAACGATGCTGTCGTAAAGGGGCCAAAGCTGGCGGGGTGAATAAGCGGCTGTTGACGGAGTAGACGTCAGAGGAGGCAGCGCAGACAATGGGAGCCGGTACCCCTGACGGAGGACGTCGGTGACGAACGGGTCCTCCAGTGTGGACCAGTTTCTCCAAAACCGGCCTAGTCTCCCACCCACAGGTGTGTCGGTGACCTGAACGGCTGGGGGTGGGAGGTCCCAGTCGTTGAGGTCCCGCCGGTCAACGCTTTGAGGTGGAATCGGCACCCTTGCCGGGGCGACGATCCCTTCGGGGTTGGTAAGTGCCACGGGCTCTACCACGACCACGCCCTGTCCCACGAAAGGGCGAGGTATGTTTGGAGACGACCTTGAGGGAGGAACGGCGTGGTTTATAGTTGCCTTTGGAGGACTTGGCCGCTGATTGGTGTGTTACATGCTCCAAGGCTCTGAGAGCAGTTTCATCCCTGGCGAAGCTGGAGACTCGGGTGTGGGTAGCGGAGATAGCACCATTAAAAAGGGTAGGACCCGACCAAGGTTGTCGTAGTAAGGAACGCTTGAATTCGGAATCCCAGTCCGTGGAAGTCAAGTAACCCAACCGTCGAGTAGTGGTGATCTCCGCAAGCGCAGCTCTCAGGTGATTGCGCATGTGATCGATCTGGCGAAGTTGGAATGTCATAACCGTGCGCAAGTGGTCGATCCTGTTAGGATTGGATTCAGCGAGATCCTGGTCAATGGCTCTGGCAGATGAGGCAAGTGTAGATAGTGGCTTCAAAGTACGGCGCAGTTCTGTTTCCACGAAAGCGAGTCGGGAGTCCGGCATACGTATGGTGACGGACTGGGAAGACCCGGTCATTCGATGTAAGTCCTCGTCAAGGATATGTGCACCGTCGGCCACGTCGAAGGAGTGGACGGGGAAATCTTCCCGCCGGAAACGCGGAGCCTTGAACGACGGCGTGAGGGACAACTTAGCGAAGTCCTCGTCCAACGCCGTAACCAGGTCAGTGAGCATTGGGTCGGGTGGTAGAGAAGTCGGATTAGACCAGATCGTCAACTTTTTATCCACATCGGAGCCCGGGGAGGGAGCGACGGAGGCCAGACGGTCCGCCAACCAATCAGCAACCTGTGAAAGGCCCAAGTGTGTATCAATCTCGGGAGATGGAGGGTCATAATTGGGGCGAAATGATCCTTCCGAGGAGGAGGAACGACGTCGTCGTCTATGTACAGGTGAGCGACTACGAGAGCGACTACGAGAGCGACGACGGGAACGAGCAGACTTGGACGAGTGCCGAGAAACAGTCGGAGGCGACGAGGTGTACAATGTTCGAGACCGAGAAGCACCCGATGTGGAGGGGGCCGCAGGAATCGAAGTAACAGTAGTCGGGGCCGTCAGCGTCGCAGGAGGCACCGTCGGCGCCGCTGAGGTGGGTTGAGCTTGCGCAAACAATGACTGCATCCAAGCTTGCATCCAAGATGGATCCATGAACGATGATGGAAGGGCATGTCCATAAGTAGGAGGCGCAGCACAAGTCAAAGGCGCCGAAGTAGTCAGAGGCGCCGTATACATTGAAGACATCAGTGGCGCCGGACCAAGAGGCGCCGGATACATCGGAGGCGCCGGACCAAGAGGCGCCGGATACATCAGAGGCGCCGGACCAAGAAGCGCCAGACCAAGAGGCGCCGGATACATCGGAGGCGCCGGACCAAGAGGCGCCGGAGTTGTCGTCGTAGATGGTAGAGGTGACAGGAAACCCGAAACGGGCGATGCTGCAGATGATGATGTCGAAGCAGACGACGGTAAGGGTGGTGTAGGAGACCGTGTACGGTCGGATGTCGTGCCATGAGAGGCAGACTCTACGTTGGATGACATGTTGGAGAGTCGACGCACACGCTGGGTGAATCGTTTCCGAGACACTCTTAGGTAGGCGGTGAAGGAGACTGGCGACAGGGGACTACAATAACTGCAACGCTCTGTGAGGGTACACGGGGTTGTACAGTCCAGGCAGCAGGGGTGGGGGTCCCGTCCAGATTTATTCCCGCGGCAGCAAGAGCAGCGAGACATACTGGAATTGAAGCAAAAAACATAACGATGTGTAAACACACAACGTGAAACATAATGTAACTCAACATAACTTATTCTTGTTACAAAGTTAATAAGAGCAAACAATTACGCTTCAAACACGCCAAAAACAATCATTAAACTTAATGTAAAACTCCAACCATAGAGCGAATTCAAGACACAAAACACGAAAGTACGTGGACACGTAGTGAATCGCAACAGGGCGGGAAAAAATGGCGGTAAACCAAAATGGCGGGAAACAACAATACGCTCGGAAAAACCGTGACGAGAGTCACAACCCGAGCGAGAAACGTTACCAATTAACAATATAATGAAGGCAAAGGTAATACAGCAGACTTTTGTCGTAGAAAAACGAAAGAAAGTCAGGACCAAGAAAGCTTTAATTCCACTGAGGGATACAGTTCACGTCCGATCCATGTGGTTGACAAAGCAGTTATGAGTTTTGACATGACGTCATGTCTTCCGGGTCACGTGCCGACTGTGTGGGAGGGGGCGCTGCTTCCTGGACAGATGGAAACAACTTTCTTCAGCAGCTGGATCTCACACAGTTCGTCTCTCTGTCAAAGACAGCAGTAAATGCAATACGGAGTAATGCAGGATAAGTTAAAAAATCTTACTATTTGTTGGTGTATCATGATACCAGTGGTATCGTCAGTCTGTATCGTGTTACGTATTGTATCGCAAGATACCTGGCGATACTCAGCTCTAATGAGGTGAGGTGAAATGGGGTTTAACGTCGCGTCCAAGATTATTGCACTTATATAGCGACGTGCATGCACGTGTATGGCTGCTTGTACTAGGCCGGACTGATGCCGATTTATAGTGCCAGCTCACTGAGATATCATGCCGCAGTTTAACATGAATACCCCACTCAGACACAGTATACTGACTCTGAGCCGACCAGTCCTTGTTTTAGCCCCTTAATGCTGAGCGCCAGACAGGGTAACAACAAGTACCATCTTTTAACTTCTTTTGGTATGACGCGGTCGGGGATCGAACCCCGGACCTTCCGCTCTCCAGTCGGACCCTCTACCATTAGACCACAGAGGCGGTCCAGCTCTAATGACTAGCATAAGTTGCTAGGAACCAATTCTAACCCGGACTTTCTACGAGGGTATTAATCATTATAGAATAGTGATACAAGTATAATACACTGGATTATCGAGGATGCATTAACCTGATAAATGGACCAGCAGATATAGAAACTGGCTAGTATTGATTACACGCCTTCAAAGAATATAAACTCTTTATAAAACCTTTTCACTGACATCTTGCTTGCGCAAATTGTTAATATGGATGTTAACCAACACTATATAGTACATAGCAAAGGTCTTTTTGAGTGAAAGTGAACAGATTTGATGACTAATTGTAGCAACATCATCTCAACATCATCTCAGAAGTGCTGCATTTAGAATTGGCCCTCTTTTAATTTGGGGATAAAATTTATGATTAGGTGCCATTTGAGTTTAACAACCAAGTGTAAGTGATCATGGTGAATTCAACCCAATCCCCAAAACAAGCAGATCTCTGTCAATTGAATAACACATAGAGAATATTATATGAGCAAATGTTAAACTGATTTTATGAAACAAGGATCAGAATTCTTGTATTTCCTTATATTCTTACAAGAGTTTCATAAAAATCAGTATGACACACATGCAAGTGTAATAATTTCTTTTCTTTTATTCCTTAATCCTTTTGAGCTCCCCTTTAGTAAAATGCACTGATCATGATTGCCTTTAAAGAAAACCACAATTGCCGAATGACAAAAATCATCAATTGTGATGTCTTTTCTTGTGTGACGTCATTCCGACTTTATGTCACAATAAGATTCAAATGATGTAAACAATACACTGATGCATGTGAAGTGATATTTGCACTGGTGCACATATGATGCTTATGAACATGGTTATTTCGAACCCCTTGGGTAATCATAAATATTTTCCACCAGGTACTTGTTAATAATAAGTTTTCACGCCACCTGTCTACATTCAAATTAAATGGCAATGTGATCATTAGGATCATCTATGATATTAACATGATAAACAGGCAATTTTGATACTGATAATCATCTATCAGTGTACAGTTTAAAATGCCAAAGCTGAAAGAACTCATTGTTTACCTTGGCACACTTTGAACACAATGAATTAAGTGACTGAGATATGAAGTACCTGTATGAAAACGGTAGACACTCGCTAAAAGATAGCCTATCATCAGCCGAGCAGTCTGCGTCACAACAACAGTTCACATCACAGGCATTACCGGTCAGGTCACAAGGACATGTTCCAATATCTGAAAGATCAAGAATGGAATACATGTGTATGAGATACAGCAGCTACTCGATAAATCGCAAAGGAAATTAAACAGTTAACGGACGCTATGGTAAAAAAAAAATATATGATAGCTTAGCATCTACTTATACAATCAATACTTCAAAAAGAGGACACAGAGAGAGAATTTAAAAGTAAGAATATCGTCAATGACCAGTGTTGGCGGGTATTTGCGTCGGTGGTTGCGTCGGCGCGGGCGTTGTGGTCGTTGTCGTGACTTGCGTTGTTGCCGGCGGAGTGGTCGTCGGTGCATCTGTTGTGTTTGAATCGGTTGACCCTGTTGCACCGGTGGTGGTTGATTGCGATGAAGCAAAAGATACCAAATAAATGAACGAAATGATAACAACGGTTAAACAATTTCTCAGCAACGAGCACCTGCTCGCATTCGAGTGAGCCGCCATGATGTAAACAACAACGGGGAGAATCATGGGAAATACCTGCACAAACACTTTTTTATTAAATTATTTATTTTCGATCAACAATTAGAGGATACGCTAATTTAGGAACATTTTATGTTTATTGGCATTATTTGTTCCCTGGAAAGCCACATCGTTCATATCCGTATCTAACATGTCTTCGGCGGAATAGCGACCGGCGTGCATGGTTTGAGTGTCTTGACTGTTTATGTTGCTTGACAAGTTCCGCATTGTATTTGCTGGATAGAAGATACATTGGTTGTGACATTGAAAGACGGCTTCTTTAATTAAGGTAATTGGGTATGAACTGCGTAATTGGAACGACATGACATGTTTATATTGACGTCTGCTCTGTTTTTCAAATACAGACGAGACTTAGGCCTAGCCCAGAAATGTTGTCAACAAAGCAGAAATATCTATCGTCAGCGAATTTGACAATATGTTTCAGTTAAGTTACTCTTCCAGAAGAAATAAATGTAAAGATGGTTTGTGCGTCTGAGCAAAGGATTCCGAGGTAGGTCTAATCCTTTTTATAGTGTCAGCTGATATAAACGGTTCGGATGCTGGTCACACACCACCATCACACATGGAGTTAATTATTATTCATTTGATGTAGGCAGGTTTATCTTACATGTCTAGAATGTCAGTTTGAAAATCCAAATCCACAAGTAATACTGGTATGAAATGGAAATAAAGAGTGTAATGCAGTTATAAGATTTTGGTTATTTTCATGGTTTTCGCCCATAATAAGCATGTTGAATGGAATTTAGTTGATATTAATTATGGTATATCCTGACGTACCCTAATTTAAACAGTTAAGATGGCATTGTTGATATATTGAGGGATGAGTCGGGAGTAGTGCACTTAACCAGGCACACTTTTTCAGATCCAATTAGCGCTGTGGGGGCTCAAACGCGCTTCGCCGGCTAACCGGCTTGGCTAATTAATGCGTTAATTAGCTGACGCTCTACCACTGGACCACGAGCGATATCACATGTAATCAGTGCTCGGTTAACGGGTCATTAGCACCCCATTAACAAACATGCATAATTCAGAAAACAATGAATTGCGCATGCGTTTGACGTCACTGTCCGCTCTCCCATTCATCTTTTCTTGAAACCACACCCGCCATTGTTTATGTCAACATGACCAACCAATCGGATTAACTGGATTAACGCTTGAAAAGTTAAGAAATTATGGCTAACCCTTGCCCAAAGCAAGCTAACCCTAAGGACTGAAAACGGGTGTTGGATCGTAAAGACGTGTAAGTTTCCCTTAGACCGAAAATGGGTATTGGATTTTGAAGCGAGAGTCACCAGAGCGTGAGGCACGGTAACGGTATAGCGAGACAGCAGTAGCACTATAGCGCGGTAATTGACTGGATGGTAGAGCTCAGGCTGCGCCCGGTAAACTGCATTGTTGCCGATGAGTCAATCATAACCTAAATTCTGCTTCAAACCAGTAGGTGTAGGTGATGCGACAAAATATCAATATGGCTACTTGAATATAGGGTACGCTTACTGGACGATAGTTTTAACTGTACACGTGACTAAATATTAAATTATGTACATAAACATCTTGTTGCAAATACTTTGCATTCCTTTCTATTGATTTTTTTATTTTTATTATTAACATGCAAAAACAAAAATAGCCTGGGCCTATAGAAGTATTAAATGTATTGTGAAATATTATCGAGAAGTTGGACCTCAATTCAGGTACAGTAGTGGGTAAACGTAAGGAGCTGCATCCAATGTGGAAAGCGGCAGTACTTATCTAGGTGATTTCTTGTGCCCAGTGTGCCAAGGTCAAGGTGAAATCCAATGGATTATTCCAGCGCAGGTTCGAATCCTTTTCACTGCTCCACTGTTTTGAAATGGGGTGGTAAGGAGCCTGCAAATATTACAACAAGAAATGCAACTACATGTGTATGGTATGCCTGTATCTTCTCTTGTCATGTGGTGTCTGATTTGTGTTTCATCTTGGTTGGTTGTCCTTTTCATATCTCTCACTTGGGGATGATCATGGTCTCGGGAATATTGCCAGAGTATGGTATGATATTAACAGTTGTATTTGATCTGTGTTTGAAGTGTTGAAATGTATTTTTGCACTTTCAGAATTGGTTGTGATTGCTGATCCCAGAACAATGCCAGCGTCAGACTTTGGCTGGTCCAATCGTGCACAGGTGTTTCAAGTTTTTGGCAATAAACGTAAACATGAGTGGACAGAGGCTGGGGACAGAGAAGTGCAGGTAATATTTCATGCAATCAGGGATTTGTCTAGGATTCTGAACTAAGTGACCTTGGTAGCCAATTTCAGGAAAAACTGCTATTTTGTTCAACTTTGGGATTTTTTGAAGTTCTTATTTTCTTAGTTTTAACTTTCAGATGTATTTTTGCATTGTATTTTGACATTGACATCCAATACAATAATGTGAAATAAAGCATTCTCTTTATTGGTCTTGTTATCAGTAAAGTACATGTCACCTTGCACAAGCCATCGCATAAGAGATAACTATAGTAACTATTAAACATGAATAGGAAAGACCAACCTAATAGTATAACTGCACTCTGCGTAAGACATGTAAGAAGCTAATGGATCCTGTTCAACATGTATGTCTTTACAGATCTTTATTTACTGATTGAATGCAGGCATCACATGTTCATGAACTCTACTGTAGTGAATAATCTCGCTTATTGTTATTTAGATTTCTATATCACTGTTGTGAGTTTATGTGACACATTGCACACTTGGGGCAGCACACAAGAATATATATATCATTGAGAGAGAGAGAGAGAGAGAGATATATATCTATCTCTCTCTTATATATATCTATCTCTCTCTCTCATATATATATATATATATACACACACACACACACACACAGTCGTTAATGTCTCCTCATTGGTGTAAAAATACCCATTGGACTGGACCAAGGGAGTAAAAATGTATTGAATACCCAAAGAAAACTATCAATACCCAATATGAATGATAACATGTGAGACAGTACTCAATGGCTAAAACAATAATCTGGAGTCCTGCTGACGTCAGACTTTGTGACATTGCTGATTGTGTGATCATACTCTGACCTGTGAAGATCCAGGGTAGAATAGGTCTTCAGCAACCCATGCTTGGCGTAAAAGGCAACTATGCTTGTTGTAAGAGGCGACTAATGGGATTGGGTGGTCAGACTCGCTGACTTGGTTGATGCATGCAGCAATAGAAACTAACAATTTTAGCCGACTAGTCCTAATTATGATCACATATAGCAAAACCCCTGAAAAGGGCAAATTTCTACTACTAGTCCTTAGGATACCTTAAGTATTGGGCAGTTTGGCAAGGACTATAGGACTAGTGCCAGTTTCTAACGCTATGCATGTCATCGATCTCAATTGCATGGATCGATGCTCATGATATCAATCACTGGATTGTTATGTCCAGTCTTGATTATTTACAGACCACCATCATATAGCTGGAATATTGCTGAGTGCGGCATTAAACAACAAACCAACCAACCAATCAAGTGACTGTTTACAATTACAGGCTGCCATGCTATGGCTGGAATGTTACATCCTGCAGGGTAATACAACAAAGAAACTAACAAACAAACACTAACTACACAGAATGTGTACTACTATGCCAGGCGCATTAGATTGTGCTACAGCGATAGAAACTGTTTTTGTCCTAATATAATACAATGGCCATGCAGCATTTCGGAGGCGTAAGTCAGCCAACAAGCTTAGCAGCTCTCGGAAGGTTAAGCCTTGACTAACCTAAAGCATACTACATTTAATCCTGAGGCGAATCACTGTCACATGCTGCATGTTTGGTCAGCTTGCAGTATCCTATACCTCATCACCAATGCCATGCTTCAGTGGCCAACGGACCATTCTCTAACTTGTACAGCATTGCAGACAGCCAAGCCACACATGACTGTGCTGCTGGCCAGCTCTTTATGGTAGCTGAGCTGCTGTGATCTAATTTGTGTTTACAGAACTGTGATTATTTGGGTATATATTAACATACAGTTAACTAATGTTGTAACAAAACCAAAGGGATCACTAATTTTAGTTGGTTATAACCGTAGTTGGTTATAAGCATATATACAGCATATATTCAATAAATGGCCGGGACCAAAAAATAAATTTGTTATATCTGTCAGTTCGTTATAAGCGTGTTCGTTATAAACATAGTTTACTGTACTTAACTCAGAGAATATATAAAACTTGTATAAACTCCCTATTAAAACCCATATCCTGCCAAAGGGCCTAGGTTAAAGGAATATATTTGATTTACCAATAGATCATGTAATAAAACAAAATCAACACGATCAGGTTGATAAGAGGCTGTGTTATTTATGTGTATGAAGGTAACTCTTACACAATGAGTATTTGGATCTATTGCTTCAGATGGAGGCGTCTTCGAAGAGGCAATGTCCTGAACCTACAGAATGTGGAGATGCCATGAATGAAATGTTGGAGATCAATCACAACTCCATCCTGCCCACAGACGCTCCTCAGCAGGTAAAGTACAGGTTTTTAAGTCTACCGGTAATTGTCGGAAATGAAATGTGTCCTGTTTAGTTGTGTCTTTGTATCTGGACAGTAAGGGTCATTCCTCATGCTGTCAAGCACTGGTTTGCCAGGTCCCAACTCAATTTTTTACTGGCTGTATTGTGATGAAACTAATTGCTGTACAAAACAACATACACCCGCCTGATTAGCTATGAACAGAACTCCACTTGTCTGTCTACCACACAGTTCACAGGGGATTGTCCATGTGTGGAGCTTGACCCCCCATCTCCGGCTAAATGCAGGATTCTAGGCTACTGCGAAGGGTGATTTAAATGTCACCTGTCAAGAATACTCTGACTGTAAACAACTCTGACCGGAAATAGGTCAACTGCCCTCATGCTAGCCATGCAGTGTCAGGTTGGTTTGCATGCTTGTACTTAGTGTTGCAACCCCTCGATCAGATGCCTGTAACTTACGTCAATGTGACCGAGTCACCAACTTCAGTAGATCTACGATACCTACATGTCGAGTTATGAGACACCGCCCTTTAGCATCACATCATAAGAATGGGAGCGCTTATACCATGTATACAGTGCCAAGGGGATGGAATCGATCACCTTACTTCTTAGGTACGATCCTTCAGACTAAAGAGTTTTATATTCTTCCCACAACTGTTACGTCGACATCCGATGACAACGCGGGGAGTAACGAGGCACCTCCCTTCATCACCACCTCGATGTAACAAAAGGATTGTTTATACATTGTACATTACAATCTTTCAGACCAAAATTTTATTTTTTATATTCAGCTTTGTCTACTCGATACAACTTTGACTTCCCACGACCGTTAAGTTGATGCCTTGGCGTTCGGTAGGGGAGCGCATTTATTTAGTCTTCATGGGATCTGGCATTGGTAGGCAGACGAGCACAACTTTCCATGTATAATCAAGGCTCAACATGATCAGAAACCCTTCTGAAGTTGACTATTCAACTTCACAGTCTCGTAGACAGCCTTATCTAAATCTGCTACCCTCTCTTCAGCAGCCACTTACACTTTGTCAGTGATCAATGACAGGCATCATGGGGTTGCTCATGTCAGCCAAGGATTTGATGAGCTGAAGTCGCCTTCTACCTGGGTCCGATCCAACATTGGAGCCTTACAATGTTACATAAGAATATATCCACGAACAACATCACAGTAGTTTTGATGTCTACGCTATCAGGGGATGACACTCTCACTCCCTCCTTTGACAGACGTTACAGTTCTTCCAATAGGTAGATCGGCAGGGCCTCCGCTTTTTTGTTCAGCACATTCCCGGATGTAGGAATGTTCCTGCAAACGCTCTCTATCTAGGTCAGGAAGGGAAGCGCTTTCCCAAGGTGTTTCCTCTCTTATGTCAGCACCTTGCTCATCCCAATATCGACCTCTTCGCTACTTGCCAGAACCTCCAGATCTCAACTTATGTCTCCCCGATCCCACAGGCATGGTGGATTGGCGCATTGAGCATCACTAGAGAAGGACTATGAGCAAATGATTTTCTGCCACCAGTACTTCTTCCCAAGGTGATGCAGAAGTTCAGGGCAACCAAGAGCCTTGCTCTGACTTTGATCGCGTCTTGGTGGCCAGTCAGGGGCTGGTTCATGGATCTCAAAGACATAACCACAGATGACCCCCCCCCCCGAGCTACCAGGTGGGCCCTCAGTGCCAAGGGTTATCTGGCAAGAAGCAGTGACAGCTATACATTTGGCTCACATACTGGCGTCTACTAGGGATATTTACGACAACAAGTGGCACTCCTTTGGGAGTTTCTGTAAGGTAAAACATCAGGACCCCACTACTGAATTAAATATGAGTCCTGATAACATACCTTAGAAATTTAAGAAAATAATATTTGTTATCATCATCATCATCATCATCATCATCATCATCATCATCATCGGTACTAGTACTAGTAGTAGTAGTAGCAGCAGTAGCAGCATACATGATATGACTATGTTGTTCTTCAGGATACGGCACCTGTTGATTGTGCAACCATGACTCAGGACCAAATACATCAACTACAGCATGCCCAACTTCAGCAACAAATACAAGAGCAGCAGCAGCAGCAACAGCAACAACAGCAGTATATGCAGCAACAACAGCAACATCTTCAGTCACAACAGATGCAGCAGGCGTTCAACCAAGAGATACAGCCGGTAAATATAATTGAATGATCAAATTTGTTAGCTCTACCTGTCATCAGCCTGTGCTTATGTTTATGGAGCTTCGATGAAACATGCTTTTGGGTGTTGTAGTTAACATGCATGAAAAGTCTTTGAAATTTGGTTACAGTGATTGTATAGGTCCCTTTTGGGATCCCAAGGTAGAATTGGTAACCCATTGTCATGCTTATAAAAAGAGTGAAAACAACTGTGTCTAGTGCTCTGTGATTTGGCAGATTGAACATGATTGTGTCTTGATGGAACATATTGTTTCTCATGTTTTCAGTCCGTTTTGCCTGATTCAGACTTGATTTTATACAGGCATCCATAATGTGTTTAGATAACTTAACTAACATTCAATCACTTCCTTGTAGTTACTTGAAGTTGAAGTAAAGGCTGTGTTCTTGTATTAAATTGATTGAAGCTTTACATTAATCCTGATGTTTCATGCCTCTTCCCTCCCTCTTGCAGCAGCAACAGCAGGAGGATCCCCATTCTCACAACACAATGGTTATGGACCTTTGTGATGAGACATACTCTAACGCACAGTTGGACACAGAAACACAGTCAATGTACAGCAACATGGACTCTGACTTTGTGCCAAATCTGCAGCAATATGGGTTAGCATTTTGTGGAGACTCGTGTTTGTAAGTTAGTGAGTGTCACGTAACTACATGCTTGTCTTTCTGTTTTCTTTGTCCGAGTTTTACCCCAGGATAGCTCTACAAATAATCAACAGTAGCTTGATAATTCTAATAACGGATTATTGATAGTTCTTTGTGGTTTGTAAACATGGTAAAGGGAGTAATAGTTATTGTAAAATGAGTATCCTGGATAAAACTCCATTGAATTTTGTTGAAAAGTTTGTAATCTTGTTTTGTATCTAATATGCTTCCATGCTCACTTGTTGAATATTCAGCAGATTCCCATTAGTGTCGTGAAGTACAATTCATTCTTTTACAACTGAATATTTTCATATCTGTCCTGCTAGCTAAATGTAGATACAGCATGCAGTTTGAGGTAAACCGGCAATAAGACTAAAAACCTATTCCTATTTTGTATAGAGGTGGAGAACGATACCCAGCATCAGGGAGAATCCGGTGCTACTGCAAGCAGTCTTGGGAAGGATTGATGGACATGAGGCCCTATGTGTCCGACTACTACTGAAAACACCTCCCTAGTCACCTATTGTACCTTCAAAGTCACATCCTGACACCAGTCTTTCTGTGTCTCACTCAAGGCAGTCCACCAAATGCATATTTAGGCCAGACCACTATTTTCACTTGTTCTACAGCAATATTCCAGCTTGTGGGTCACAAAAAGATATAATAAATAGGTTTAACAAGTCAGGTTGTTCTGGGAGTAGGGGTTGGGATTCTGTCCTAAGCTGATAGCTTTAAGATTGCAAAGATTACTAAGATTACTAAAATTACTAATGAGTAAAGAGGTGCAACCATCTTATTTAAATGTCAGTAACCAGGAAAATAAGGTCTGGCCTCTCCGTGATAAAGTGCTGCATCAATCAATGTAACAGCATTTACTTCAGAGACTAGTATTGTGACTTTTGAGAGCATATTGGTTTAAGATGTTTTCGATATTTGATTTCTTTTAACTGAGTCAAGTCAGTGTTGTATATTTTCCAAAGAGAGTGTTGAAACGTAATGAATCACAGTTAAAAGCACAGTTGTTTTTCTCACATAAGAGCTGGATTTACTGTTGTATTAGTCTGTGACAGATACTTCTTATCATTTGACTTTGAAGATCCTACACAACTGAAACTGTCACATAGTGAATGATGAAAGGCAAGAGTTAAATATGTTGTTGTAGAATCTCATACTGAAATAACTTTAGGTTTGAGCAAGGTAAATTTACTGGGACATATTATACAGGTGGTTAATTGAACGAGTGTATACCATTTGTTCTTGATTCCTGCACATAATTCATGTTTCTTTAAGAAAGTCATTTGTATTTTTTAAATGACCTGGTATATAAATTATTGGTATACCATTTCTTTATTCTAGAGACTTTGAATCTCCATGCAGCAGTTTTGTACCATTTAAAAAATGAACAAATCCTTTATTTTAGATATTCCACTAACCAATGGGTCATGAATGTGACCTGCACTGTTGCTATTGTTAGCTAATGTGTGACCGTGTACAGTGTTATGGCTTTAATATCAATGTTAGTGCCTTACTTGTTGACATAATCATAGATGCTTCAGAGAGAACAGAATATGTGCGTGCAATTGTATGATTGTTTTTTGAGGTACAGATTTAAATTATTTTGTTGTACAATTACATATGCATATAACCATGATAACTGTACTCAAAGATTATTTTCAGGGCCCTGTTCCACAAATTGATATTGCTATTACAGTCGTGACTCCTATACTTTGATAGTGTGGTAGTGGTAGATTGATTACACTTTGTGGAACGAGAGGACCTGGGCCATTTAGAGTCCTCTAATTTTGTTAATGGATCTCAAAAGAGTTGTCTCAAATTGTTTCAAATTGTTTCAACATCGTCATTAGGTGTACACGAATAGGAATTTGTGGTGGCAATTATACTACCTTGAACATAATCGTAAAAATGACATGGTATAAGTGAATTATCATTTTGGATATTTGTGTCCACTGTTTCTAGTGATATATATAAAACAACTTGAAAAAGGTTACCATGAAATTGTGCGGAACTGAATGTTGCCATGTATAAGTTTGTAATGTTCTCATGTGTATATTTATGACTTGTAGAACCTCTTATTTATTGAAATCATTGTCTCATAACCTGAAAGCTATCACTTTACCAGTCATTGCTTAGCCTGATCACATATACCGTATTCGACCTAATAGGCGCCCAGGGCGCTCTCCAAATTAGAAATAGGGGGCTCTTATTAGAATATTATTTTGGTGGAAAAAACAGCGTTGAAAGATAAATTTCGTGGTTTATGCTGACAGCCTGAAATGTTTATGTACAACATATATTTTTCCAGAATTTAATTGCCCATAATTAAGGGTGCATATAACACACGAATGCGTATTATACGCGAATAAATAAGTCTTGTGTACATTGATCAATCGGAAGGGATGCTAATTGGGATTGTTCACTAGCCAATATGTTAGCAATTATCGCCGTGGGCGCTTATTAGAGCGGGACGCTTATTACGTCGAATACGGTAGTTTCATTTCACAACTTTGTTTTTCATCAGACGTCATTTCTTTTACTGTTCAATTGGTTGATCACAAACATGTTCTCTTGCCTTACTGTTGTGTCACATATTGTGTGTGAAGACATGTCCATACTGTGACGGACCCCTCAACTAACTCAGCCACTAGTACTATAGACTGTAAACAATGAAAGATTCTCTGTATGAATAATTCTTCCCCCAAAATAGAGAAGTAACTAGTCCCATATTAAGGATGGACACCAGTTTCAGGCCTACTAAAGTATACGAACAGAGAGCTACCAAACTACGTAATATTTACACTTTGAATAGAAATAGCCACACAAATTACTAGTAAGACATAAAGTTTGCATCTTAATCAGAACCAGTCACATTTACAATGGAATCAAATAATAAATCATGCAGACCGTAACACGGTTGGTTGCAGTCTCCATTTAAACTGTGCAGGGTTCTTATAATGATGCAAAATTTATGGGATTGTGTCTTGTTCATAATTTGTGTGGCTTTTACTGTTTAAGGCATGTACATATTTAATAGTTTGATTGTTCTCTGCTGGTTTTCTTTGGTTTAAGTGAGATTTCTCACATGGTAATTATATATAGCACACATACACACAATGATTCGCTTCTTTGTCACAAAAGCAATTTTTTCTTCATAATGGTACCATATTTCTTTTGTATTCTACAGCGAGGGGTGATATACTCGGTTCAGTTTGAGATCTACAGTTTTGTTATTACTGTTGTAGTCTCTTCCATTGTTTGGAAGATGAGGTGAGCATGAAATTTGCTACTGTGCATGATTTTGCTCTATGTTCTTGCCATGGTGCTATTTGCCTAAATCTATAGGGTAATATCAAACTCTCAAAGCCTTTGGTCTAAAGAGGCTTTAGAGATCACAAAAATAACCATTCAGATATTGAATAACCTGATGCGAAAATTGCATAAGAACAAGTGCTGGTAAAAAATGTCATTGATATATAGATTATCATTATCACATGTGCGTACAGGTAAGATGTGAGGTGAAACGTGGTTTAGCGTCGCATTCAAGATTATTGTACATGTATAGAGACATGTTTGTCTGTGTTTGTCTGCTTGTACTTTTCCGGATGCATGACATTTTTGTAGTGCTAGCCAACTGAGATGCCATGTCACACTTTAACAAGGATATCCCACTCCAAGGTGACTAGTCCTTCTTTTATCCCCTTAATGCTGAACGCCAGGCAGGGTAACAACAAGTACTATCTTTGGGTACAAGTCTTTGGGTATGGTGCATCCGTGGATCAAAACACCAACCAGCCATAGAAATTGGCACTAGTCCTACAGCCCTTACCAAATTGTAAGTTTCTATCGCTGCCAACCTTCCACTCTCCTGGCAGACACTCATTCCACAGAGACGGTCCAGTAAGATGTGAAGCTGTGTGTAACAGGGAGACATATAAAGAATCTCACCCGAGTGTCTTTTGATATCAAATATATCAACATGAGTTGATAAAAGTGGAAAAACTCGGAGGCTTGTCGAGGTGTTAGAAGACACAAGAGTGAGATTTTATTTATCATCCAACATCATTCTTCCAACTTTTTAAGTTTGTAGACAGTAATAAGCAGTCTCTCAAGTGTTAAATGTACTGCTAACAGCTTCAATAGCAGAGCTCATTCGTCACCACTCACCCCTTTCCGTAACCTGGAAGAAGACTCGTCCCCCTATCGATGAATGTTATGTGCGAAAATACGACAAACCAATCAGAATGCGCGTATGATTTCAAGTTCTTCATCAAAGAATCCCTCAGAAATAATTTTTTATTTTACATATGTCTTGCATCTAAAAATATACCCAAGACACAGTTAAATTTGTTCAATCATACTGTATAATTCTGCATGTCCCGATGTGCTTTAAATTGCATCTGAAATATATTTAATATATGGGGAAATATATGTGAACCATTGCGCAGCGAGTTGACAATTGTTTTGGGTATGCCCGTTTGCGCTAAGACGGAACCCGGTCACAAAAATCGGCACGAGTCGCTATTCGGCTTGTCCCGGAATAACACGAGTTGGTCACGAATGTAGCAGAGCTATGAGTGATGTCATTTGATTGTGACGTCATGGTAACCAATGAGGTCACAATGGTCTGCAAAGCATTGTGATGCAATTTCATTGCAGCGATATCTACTATGTAGATATCGCTTGATCTCACCAGCCATATCTCCTGTGGGAGCCAGTTTTGGATGATAAAAAGCTGTAAACCAGAGGGTTATTTAATAAAAAATATTTTATTTCAAGGTTTACAATGGATTTTCTGGTCATGTGTGGAATGACACAAGTTTGGATAAGACATCTTGCAGATGTTTTTTAAGAATATTTTGTTTTTCAAGACAAATTGTGAGATAACATCTATTGATGAAGTGAATCGTTCCCTCATGTTTTTCAATGTCCAGTCATTTCCAGATTGATGTCTTAACAAACTAAAAATCAGTAATCTGAACTTTGATGGAGATTATTTTGGTTTCCTTAATCGTTGATTTGGTTCTAACATCAAACAAACTGATTGATATGCATGCCATGGTTTAGATATTGGTATACAATCACAAGGATGCTGAAGTATCACAGTATCTCATATAATGTTATATGCAATAAATCAGCAGAGCTGATAGTCTATGCAAACAAGCAGCATGGGCATGGTTTCATTCCTTGATGGAGTTTTTCAAGAAGGTTATAGTCTTGAAAGGTTGTATGTATTATTACAAAAAATTGTTTCGATCTTTGAGTTTTAGACTAAAATGTGTTTCAGGGGAAGACGTCCAGATCTTGTTGACATTACTATTACTGTCACAATTAATACTATTTTGCATGTTTTGTATCACTTTTTACAGTTGCTTACTGTACAGATAATTGTTGTATACAAAGAAATAGTTCAGTTTCTTCGTAGAATAAATCCTACTTTCACAATCAAGCGGAATATGCTACTAAAGAAAAAGTTAAGGGCCACCCAATTCTTTCATATTACTGAAGTTAGGATAAGATTTATGGATGAACAACTTCTTTATTACAATTAGGAGCGACGTTTCGGTGTAGGCTCGTTATCGACATCATGAACTTTAACCTACACCGAAACATCGTTCCTAATTGTAATAAAGAAGTTGTTCATCCATAAATCTTATCCTTAGTACTCCAACTTCTAAATGCCTCTCAAAGAAGTTAAAGTTAATCTGTCATGGCAAAGTAATATGAAACAATTGGATGGTCCTTAATTTTTTTATTAGTATAGTCAACAGTGTATACACTGTTGTTCAGCACTGAAAATAAAATGCCCCAAAATTGCAAGGAAGATTGACATACTTTGTCCTGATTATATATTGTGTGTAAGAATTGAAAAGTATAATTTATATTGCCATGTCTTGGACCAAAATGAGAAATATTCAGGAGACACCCATAGATATTCATTACAAGGTTGAGGTTCATTACCAAAAGGATTCAAGTTAGGGTAATTCTCATGTTCTCTCATTAAGGTGACAAGTACTCCGCTGCATCTTGCCCATTGATGCAGAATTCACCGTATTGCTTTTAGATGCAAAATTGTTTTTATAAGTGCTACATGACCAAGACCATATTCAGTGCCAACAAATAGCAGTTTGTGTACACAGGCAATGTTTATGCATACAGGTGAAGCCATGTATTGAAGCATATTGTGCATGTGTGAATGCACAAGGCAGGACAGATTAACTATTGTAATACAAAAGAATGAGGTGATCCGTAACTTTATTTTGGGAGTACCGTATTCGACGTAATAAGCGCCCAGGGCGCTCTCAAAATTAGAAATAGGGGGCTCTTATTAGAAATCTTTTGGTGGAAAAAACAAGTTGAAAGATAAATTTCGTGGTTTATGCTGACAGCCTGACTGTTTATATACGACAGATATATTTTTCCAGAATTTAATTGCCCATAATTAAGAGTGCATATAATACACGAATAAATAGGTCTTGTGTACATTGATCATCAGAAGGGGTGCTAATTGGGATTGTTCACTTGCCAATATATCAGCAAATATCGCTGTGGGCGCTTATTAGAACGGGGCGCTTATTACGTCGAATACGGTATATATATTGAGAGGGTGAACAAAAGATGAACTCTTCAGGAAAAAGGTGAGGTCTTCACACTGAAGCCCAATACATAATGATCAAACCACTTTCTCACCAGGCAGCAGCAGCAGGATCTAAGACGTTGCTGTGAATGTTGAATTTTGTTACTCTGACAGTTTTTGGCATTTGTTCATTACATATCAGTTTCATTGTTCCTTTGTCACTACATGCCAGTCTTAGTTTTGTCTGTTACATCTTCAGTGTTTCAGTGTTATATTTATGTTATGTGGTATGGCAGACATCCAGATGTACCCCACCTTTATTTTCACAGGTGTTTATTAAATACATTTTAAGCAAATCTGACTTTGTCATATTTTCATGAAGTGAGTGTACGGTTTTATGCCACTCTTGGCAACATTCCAGCAATATCACGGCAGGGGGGACACCAGAAGTGGGCTCACATTGGTGGGTGACACATTGTTCTCATGTTGGGAATCGAACTTTGGTCTTTGGCGTGATGAGTGAACGCTTTAACCTCTAGACTACCCCACCACCCCTATATTTGTTTTCAAGAAGATGGTGACAGTTTTGTTCAGCCTGGTATTCACAATAATATAGGGATAGACTTATTTTCTTCCCAAATCTAACTGAAGAACACCCACTTTTTTTCATATGACTGTAGTTCTTGTACTTAATCCATAATCATGATAATGTCATGGCAGATCAATCATAGTCATGAAAAAATTGGGTGTTCTTTAACTTCTTTTGAGTAGTATAGCTGACAAAACATATTAAGCCATACATCATTCCTTTGCCTTCTTGGCCAAAGTTATGGTTGAATCTTGAAGAATAGCTTGTCATCAGTTTGCTAAACAATGGACACAAAATATAATCTTTTAATACTTTATTGACAGTGGAAGTGTGTAGCTAATTGCGTATATAAAGGAAAACATGTTTCAGACATTGCATAGGAATGTTAAATAGCTCTTTCTTCACATGCTGGTATCAAATGATTTGTTTTGAAACTATACTACACAAAACAAGTTAAAGAACACCCACAATTGGAAGGCTGTGTGTTGCAATACACACCAGCCATGATTTCTTGAAATAAAATCGAGTGTTCTTTAACTTATTTTGGGTAGTATATATATTTTTATGTACACAATTTCTCGTTTAATACAAAAATATTAAAAAATAAATATACAATAAAACTGTTAACTGACGTGTCACAGCCATACTGACAAACAATAAGCACTCATAAGAAAAAAATTCAATTCAATGAAAACAAACTACAGGATCTCTATGCTGATGATTTCCAGAAAGTACTACTCCATATATTAGAATAAGACACAGGAATAGCCATCACAAAAGATATTCCCTTGATACATATCTTGAAAAGAACTAATGACTGATCTTGGTTGTGTTCAACTACTATGTAATGACCGCGGCTCTTGAATTTTGTGGCCTATCACACCAGCCTAATGTGCGAGGCAGAAAGACATAGTGTCACGGATTGTGGATATATACATTTTTGACACTTGCAAAATCCATGGTAACGGGTATGCTGTTGACAAACCAATGTTCAAAATTGGTTCACAATAGAATTGGAACCCATGATCAGAGTACAGGTGAGGTAGAAAGGGGTTCAAGATTACAGCACTCTTATAGTAATATGTATGTGTCTGTGTGTGTGTGTGTGTGTGTGTGTCTGTCTGTACTAGTCTGGACTAATGCCAGCCCACTGAGATACCTACCACTCTGACCATAAGGTAGAAGACTACTCTTTAGCCAATCATATTTCACAAAATGAAAGGCGGCTATGCTTGTTGTAAGAGGCGCCTACCGGGATCAGGTGGTAAGCCTCGCTGACTAGGTTGACGCATGTCATCGTATCCCCATTGTGTGGATCGCTGCTCATCATGTCAATCACTGGATTGTCTGGTCCAAACTTTATTATTTACAGACCACCGTTTTATAACTGGTATATTGCTGAGTGTGGCATTAAACAACAAAAACTAGTGAAATTGAAAATATTTTCTAACTCTATTGACACTTGTTCCTACTGGCTAAATTGTTTTTCATTTCTTTGTTTACAAATTCTGTTAAAATCCTGGGACTCGTTTCACAAAGCGATCTCAGAACTATGATTATCATAAGTCAGTGTTAAAGTATGGGACTTATGATCACTGTAGTGCTAAGATCGCTTTGTGCAAGAGGACCCCTGGATGGTCAGAGAAGGAAAATAGAAAAGAAACAGATTCTTTTCTGACCTACATAAAGTTATACGAACATGTTCGCAAGTCAATCTCGTCAGTCTTGCACTTTTAAGCACATTGAACCTATTTTTGCTTTGAACTATTTTACATCAAGTTTGCATTTGGAAAAGTAACAAAATAGGGTTTACAGATTTTTCTTGTTTCCACAAATTTTAGGGTTTGTAAACCAATTATTAACAAGAGTATCACCCAAATGACATTTTGTTCCCGGCTGTATGAATACTGAGCATTATACAGATATGCTGCCCTCGCGGAAGTTGGTCTTCCCGATGAGGGCGTTGATGAGCACGGTGTTGCCAGCCCTGTAGTCTTTGAGAGCTCTCTCCAACACTTCCTTGATGTTGTCCTCGTTTGTTCGGTCCAGACGATAGCCCTTCCCCCCGTAACCCTCGGCAACCACATCATAGTCGGAATACTGAAACAGGAAATAAGGTCCTGACCCCTCATTCAACTGCTAGTCTAAACTAAGACTACTTTTTTGGTCCCATTTCTTCCACATAAACCACCAGTCCAACAATGAGTGGACTGGACTAGTTGCCCTAATATATCGACCTATGAAAAGACAACTGAAGCAGATATTGCCTGTGGACATGGATAAACATGATAAACACAGGCAAACTAGGAAAATTTGTATTTTGGGGGGATCTTTTTTTTATAGACAGAGCAAAATACTATTTCTTACATAATGATTTTTGACATGCTCACAGATGACATCTTGACGGGGTTAACCTCTTTGGTCATATGGACATGGCATCTGACGTACCAGAAGGTCCATGGTTGGTATCCCATCATAGGACTCAGAAATATTATGGCCGCTACATTGGCATCCAACAAGGGACAAGGGACTGCTCAACAATCTGAGCAAAAGAAATCTCTGTTCCCTCTGGGGGTAGGGGGGTAGGGGGGTAGGAGGCACGGGTGGCCCAGTTGTCTAAGGCGCCGCGATTTGCAGTGCAGAGTTGCATCCCTTGGGTACGCCAGAAATCTATTATTGTAGGTTCGAATCCTGGTTCGCCCCAATAATGTTTCTAGATTTCTCAGCACCATACCTGTGCATGTGGGTTTCACCGAAGTGGTAAACGTATGAGACCTGCATCACTTTGGGCTTTCCACCTACATTAAGCTGACACACCATGATACAACTGGAATACTGTTAAAAGCAGCGTTAAACCCAACTCACTCACTCTGGGGAGTATGTAGCAGGGCATGGTTTCGAATCCCATCATACAGACAATGTTTCTTACCGCCAACTGACAGGCCACACTGCTCCCGAACATAGGCACTTGTTCCCTGGCGATCTGGGTCCAGCCAGCGTCATTCCCCACCAGGGCCAACACCGGGACCTGAGACAGAAATGCTACTGTATCACACAAAACACCATCATTAAACAACATGGACATGCTCATTTAGTTCAATTCCAAGAGTATAGACTATAATGTAATGTGAAAAGCAGTGCTTGTCATATGACAAAGCAATACATGGTGACCAGCCATTCGAATTCGAATTTTCAAAAACTAGTAAGTGTAACCTTAATTCACTTGTCCTTAGAATTTGTAGCTAGTTGATGTTTAGTGGCCTTACAAGTCTGATAATTACATTACAACAATGAGAAAAGAATTTGGCAGTCATCACTGTTTGTAACACTTCTGAAGACTGTTCCAGGAGATGGTCACTCCTTCTTCCTTCAATTTCAGAACAAATTTATTCTGACTTATACTAATTGCTTATCTCTCTCTCTCTTCAGAATAGTAGTGGAAACATCCTGTTCTGTTCCCAGAGAACAGAGAAAACATCTCACCCCAACGCACTGAGACCAGTAACGCATTACTCTTTTTTGTACCAACCGTGTAGTTGGGAAAAATATTCTGTTCTCATTAATCCATCAACTCTTCAGCACATGCGGGCACCCGACACACGTGTGTACAGAACTGCATTTGCGCAAGACTCAGAATTCTGTTGGGTGGATTAGTGCCCCTGACGTGTGCAGGATCTGCTGAGAGTGGGTTTGTACACTTTTCAAAGGGTATGGACAGGTAGCAGGTAACTAGTATTTACCTTATGTCTTGTAAATGTATCGACCTCAGCCACACTGTATCCCACAGTCCCATCTCCATAAATAACCCACACATCACTCTCGGGACGACACAGCTTGGCTCCCAGGGCAAACCCTCCTCCCACGCCCAGAGTCCCAAATGCTCCTGGGTCAAGCCAGTGGAGCGGGCCACGAGGTCTGAAAGGGGAGTGAATGCTCACAAAGTGTTTTTATTTAAGAAATAAATGACTTGTGGTCATTGTTTATCATACAATAAAACACCATTGGAGAATAAACCATGACGGGCAATTAACAACAACCACGAGTCGTTTATTTCTCATATGAGGTATGAACATTATGTACACCCTCTTTAAGGATGATGATGAAATGTGCACGCTTTAAAAATATTTACCCGTATTTTAATAATGATGACTCCCCATTTGAATCCGACTATGGCGTTGTTGGACAAGTCAATTTTATGCATAGGTGGGTATTTTCCGCATATTCTCACAATCAATGATGTCATGATGAAACAGTGTCAAGATGGAACATCCCCCGTGAATACACACAGCCTCTATGTCATGTGGTCGCTATTTGCAACCATTGAATCAAGTCATGGTCGGATTCCAGCGAGAGAGAAGCAAATATTTGCTCAGATCAATCAGCACTCAGAATACATCCCACAAACACATATTTCTCTTGCAACTTAAGCCATGACCTTGCAAAGGGTACGTTTCACACAAAGTTTATGCACAGAGTTGAGCTCATTTGACTTTGTTGGTCATAAATGGCCTTATTTCAATAGCAGACTAAAAAAGACACATGTGACTACTACAAAACAAGGTGGTCGTACATGTATGTAGTCATGGGTGATGGAGGAACGTAGCTGTAGCAGATACAAAACCTGTGAAGTGTTGATGAAGGGGAAGTGGGAATTACTAAATGATCAGCAAAGTGTGGACAAGGATGATGCGGCTACAAGGATTGTCACATGCTGTTGGGGTATGATGACACACCAGGACAGCCAGGTCACAACTCAGAGTTGGTTACTAGGGCTGGCTATCGATATAGATCAGAGAGGGAACTTTAACCAAATATGCAAGAAAGTCCTGAAATCAACATACCGTATTCGACGTAATAAGCTCCCCACTCTAATAAGCACTAATAATTTGCTAATATATTGGCAAGTGAACAATCCCAATTCCTTCCGATTGATCAATGTACACAAGACTTATTTATTCGTGTATAATACGCACTAGTGTGTTATATGCACCCTTAACTATGGGCAATTATTTTCTGGCAAAATATATCTATCATGTATAACACACACAGACTTTTCTTTTGTATCATTTCAGGCTGTCAGCATAAACCACGAAATTTATGATCTTTGACCAAAATTTTATTCTAATAAGAGCACCCCCATTTCTAATTTTGAGGGCACCCTGGGCGCTTATTACGTCGAATACGGTACATGTATTTCCTGCAACTGGTGAGCAGTTACATTTATGCATGGATTACTTTGTGAATATTTGGGATACAACAAAAACAGTTACTTTCTGTCTTTGACAATTGACATAATTGACAATGAGAAGAAAGTTTTGGTAAATCTGAACTATATTTCATCACAATAGTTTGTGTGAGTAATTATCGATGACAACAGTTTCATACTGATAATCGTTAATATTTCTCCCCATTGACGATAATTCCGATTATCAATCTTTTTAGCCAGCCCTGTTGGTTATACATGTACTAGGATTAGGATGTCAAACTAAAGTATCGCAGTAATTTTGTGGTGCCGTTCCACAAAGTGATCTTAGTATTACAACTATTGTAAGTCTAAGTTAAAGTATGGATGTATAGACTGTCTTAGCACTAAGACTGCTTTGTGGAATGTGGCCCTTATCTTCATTTCCCCTCTTGATGTAAGTGAGTGAATTTCCTTCAAAGTTGCAGTCTGCAGAATAGCAATCTTGTGAGCACTCGAGTCTGGACAAGACATATCAGTGACAGAATACTACAACCAATGATCCATTCTATCTAAGTACGACATGCACAAGCCACATGTAACCTTACAATCCTCACTTCAAGTCCCGCTAAAGGTGAGGTGTAATTGGGTTTAACGTCGCGTAAAGATTATTGCACTTATATAGCGATGTGCATGCACGTGTAGGTGTGTGTATGGCTGCTTGTACTAGTCCGGACTGATGCTGATTTATAGTGCTAGCTCACTGAGATACCATGCCGCAGTTTAACATGAATACCCAACTCAGACACAGTATACTGACTCCGAGCCAACCAGTCCTTGTTTTAGCCCCTTAATGCCAAGCGCCAGACAGGGTAACAACAAGCACAATCTTTTAATATCTTTTTGTATGACGCGGCCGGGGATCGAACCCTGGACCTTCCACTCTCTGGGCGGACGCTCTACCACAAGACCACGGAGGCGGTCTCAAGTCCCACTAAAGCACGAGAATCAAGAAGCATTGGGATCCATCTTACCCAAGGACAACTGGGACATATACTGTCACAACAAAACTTCTCTTCACATAACGGACACATCAGCATGAGAAATACACGCGGATGAATTCTGCTCAGTGCTACAGTGGAGCCACCTACCTGAGGATGTATGCTGCCGTGGCCACAAAGTCTCCGCCGTCCGCTACCAAGATGGCGTCGTCAGAGAGGACCTCTTCCACCGTCATCAACACCTTCAGGGGGTTCAAGTGGTTGTCTGGGATCTCCTCCGCCTTCTGCCTGGAATCCAGACAGTGAAACCAATGAGCTCACTTAGAAACAGGTGGTTTGAAGCGTTTAACCAGCACAGAAGTCACAAGCTTGATGACAAGTGATCTCTGTGGCACAGTTCATTCAGTTAAATAGTTCATGTACAAGAACATCTGACTCACGTACTCTGAAAACTGACATGGTTGTAACATTCCACTGTGCACCACGTCAGTTAACACTTAATACACCAGTCATGCTCCTGAATTAATGCATGACACATGATCTAAAGAATTTCCAAATCTTTTATCATTTATCAAATAAACCTACTACAGTAGAACATGGACATAACGAACTACAAGGGACCGAAGAAATCAGTTCTTTATATTCGTTGTTCGTTATATACGTTTTCGCTCGGAAACGTTCGCCATCTTGGCAAAAACAAAATACAATACAATTTTATACATGTTTCCTCCCGCATCTACCGGTGATTCAGTTAAAAAGCACCAAAATTTTAATGCAATGGTCGGACGAAATTGTATCGGAAGTTATTATTTGATCAGAATTAAGATTAACATAATGCAAGTTTAACTAGGTTGAATCGTCACGAGTAATTCTCAGAAACATTTTGCAGAATTTCAAACAGACAGACAGACAGACAAATTTATTCGGTACTTCAGGCCACCGGCCAATAATACAATGGAAATATACTGTATATATATTTGCATGCTGAGTAGATTTAATAATGATTTACCGTTCCACACTGTGTTTCCTTTCGATGTTCATGACTTGGGAGGGAAATTTACCTAAGCCTTTTATAATTTGTTCGTTTTCAGCTGACATAAGTCTTATAAAATTCTCAATAGAGGGAGGGGTAACGAGACGCTTGGGAAAAGAGTTTCTTCTTGCTCTTGAATACTGAATTTCAAACAAACTAGATACATGTCTCCGTACTTACTTGTTGGCTACCTCCTTCTCTTCATCCCGGTCTCTCAAGGTTTTCACCCAGTCAGGATCACACTTGTACCCTTTCATCCCCCGGGCAACGTCCACCATGAACGAGCCAACATCCCCCTGGACTGCCAGCGTCGGCTTCCAGAACATGTCCGAGTTCTACACAACACAAGCAGACATCAAGCTTAATTGCTGGATGTTTTCAAGTTTTAGAAGTGACGATAATAAAACTGATAATGAAGACCACTACATCTCATCTGGCTATGAAGGCAACAGTGTAAAATGTCAACAAGGACAGCCACTCAAAAGCTCTGATATTCAAACATTTTCTGCATAAATGTACTGAGGACTAACACTAAATCCTGCAGTTGTGAAAAAGCTATGGTGTCATCTAAAGATGAAACATACATGTCAAAGTTCAGCTTTGAAAGTCTTGTAGTATCTGAGGGTAAGACATTTACACAGCAAAACCTGCATATTAATAAAGAGAATTTAAGAGCATTGGCCCTGAGACCAATAAATGTAACAGCAATCTAAAAATGAAATCCAGGCTCACCTTGTAGAGTTGATCCTTGTCTCTATTCACAGCAATGATCTTTGAACGGCGGCTAAGAACACGTCCATAGCCAAGGCGAAAATCACAGATAGCACCTGCAAAGTTGAAAATCATTGTTAGTCTTGAATAATACCTCTCCCAGTTTACAAGGGCCACAGGATCCTATAAAGCAACTTAATAAAGGAATCTGTCCGAGCATAACCAGTTGCTGGGGACTCTCAGGTGCGTCTCCTCAATCAATGTCATTCTTCCTATGTTACATACCACCATCTTCCCCAGGCAAGGGACATAACTGACTGTTAAAGTTAAGTTTCCAGCCTTGCTGAACTAGGCTGCAATAATGGAGTGATATTTTGGCTGGACTAAAGAGTCTATGTATAGTCCAATAAAATTGCGTTAAAAAATTGACATTCGGTTTGTCAACTGCTATGCACATTTCGGTCGATTGTAGGATTTGTAAAGCATGTGTACCACCAACTCAACGCCAACAGATATTTTCCAAATCTCTCAATGCTTTAAATCAAGGTGCTCACGTGATTTGATGCACTTCTCGAAGTAAAACCCGTTTTATTACAATATGGATCTCTATAATCGATCTGATCGTCTTGACTGGGCGCCGCCATTTTGTGAAAAAGCAAATGCAAGTGATATGAGATGTGGAATCTTATTGGTCAAAGGAGGGACATAGAAGGGACATAACTCAAAACAGCCACTGCTGGCCAAAGGATCAAGCCCAGAAATTTCAGCCTAGTTCAGCAAGGGTGGAAACTGGACTTTTACAGCCAGTTAATGCCCTTGCCTTGGGAAGATGATACACCCACAGTTTGTGCCTACCTGCCAGGACGACCACGTCAGCCTCTCGGAGAGCATCCCTCCTGCGCTGACGGACCTGGATCTCACTCGACTTTCCCAGCAGCCCTCGGGACATCCCACCCAGGAAACAGGGGATCCCCAAACTCTGGAAAAATGCCAGATACATGTACACATATCTTAAACCACATGTTCTATACAAATATCATCCACATCAAGGGTGGATCCAGAATTTCTAAAAGGGAGGGGTCCAAATGTCAAAATCCTCTTTCAGATAATTTGACTGATGTGTGATGAGGAACACTTCCAGCCAATCATCAGCTGCAGGATCTCACCTCGATGGCCTTCCTCAGGTCCTCCACTGGGGTGGGAGGCAGGGTGGACTGACTTCCCAGCAGAATCACGGGCTTCTTGGCTCTGGACAACATCTCTATACTCTTTTGTACTGGAGACAAACACATTGAAAACACATAACATGATGAGGTATACTTGGGTGGAAGAGTGTGTGAACGTTGTTTAATGCTGGAGTCAGCAATGAGTGAATGAGTGAGTGAGTGAGTGAGTGAGTGAGTGAGTGAGTGAGTGGGTGGGTGGGTGGGTGGGTGGGTGAGTGAGTGAGTGAGTGAGTGAGTGAGTGGGTGGGTGGGTGGGTGAGTGAGTGAGTGAGTGGGTGGGTGGGTGGGTGGGTGAGTTGGTGGGTGAGTGAGTGAGTGAGTGGGTGGGTGGGTGGGTGGGTGAGTTGGTGGGTGGGTGAGTGAGTTGGTGGGTGGGTGAGTGAGTGAGTGAGAGAGAGAGAGAGTGAGAGAGAGAGTGAGTGAGTGAGTGAGTGACTTCCCAGCAGAATCACGGGCTTCTTGGCTCTGGACAACATCTCTATACTCTTTTGTACTGGAGACAAACACATTGAAAACACATAACATGATGAGGTATACTTGGGTGGAAGAGTGTGTGAATGTTGTTTAATGCTGGAGTCAGCAATGAGTGAATGAGTGAGTGAGTGAGTGAGTGAGTGAGTGAGTGAGTGGGTGGGTGGGTGGGTGAGTTAGTGGGTGAGTGAGTGAGTGAGTGAGTGAGTGAGTGAGTGAGTGAGTTGGTGGGTGACTGAGTGAGTTGGTGGGCGGGCAAGCGAGTGAGTGAGTGAGTGAGTGAGTGAGTGAGTGAGTGAGTGAGTGAGTGAGCGAGCGAGCGAGTGATTATTAATGGGTATTGTGAAATGAATGGGAATGTGTGGTCCTATTTAATTTGTTCTAAACATTATTAAATGGGTCCTGGTGATGGAAATCTTTTGGACTTTTCACTTTGTATAAATTCTTTTCTGAATATCTGATATGGACAGAACGCAAAGTACAAATTTTATCTGTGGTATGGATCCTGAAGTGAAGAAACTTTATTTAATATTATTGTCAGTAGTTTGAAAAGATGCAGTTTCTTATAAGATAGATATTATTACTGATTAAGTCATATCTAAGAATCTAAAGTTTGACATGTTACTGTGTGTTTTGGCACGACCTTCATATCTCTCATCAGGACCCTTAAACTTCAATACAGGAGTACCTGGCAGCCATGTATTAAAGGAACACAACCTACTCTGGGATCTAGTTGCCATGGGCCTCTCCACCTTCAAGGGAGTCATCTCCCTTTCTTCAAATGCTCCAGCAAACAGGTCATTAAGATGATTTTGTAAATACCTAAAATGATGGAAAATCAATTTTACAAAATAAACTCCATTGTTGTGCCACCACATTATCACTGGTGACATTTACATTTCAAACAATGCTACACTTGTATTCAAAAAGTACTTCAAAATATATTAAAATATTATAAAAACCTTTCAAATATGTCATTTGTACATCACATAGTAGGCAAGGAATAAAAAGATATATATTTAACAAAATACAATTTAAGAGTCATTGTACTTATATTGTCCATTATAATATCAATTTGGCAGTCAATAACAAGAAAATGAAATGATTGTTGTTCTTAACATTGTTTAATGCCATATTTAGCAATATTCCAGCTATATTTCACATTGGCCTTTAAAAAAACCCACACTCTTGGACCAGACAAACCAGTGATTGATAAGTGAGTGAGTTGTGTTTAATCACCGCTTTGAACAGAATTCAAGTTATAACATAGGGTGTCAGCTTAATGTGGGAGGAAAGCCCGAAGTGATGCAGGTTTCAGACCCAAGGACACGGGTATGGCTCTGACAACTAAGAAACATAATTGGGGCAACCTGGGATTCGAACCCACAATCAAAAGTTTCTGGCATGCCCAAGGGATGCAACTCTGCACAGCAAATTGCAGCTCATTAGATGACTGGGCCACCTGTGCCCCTTGATTTGATGGGCAATATCTCACACTGTCAAGTTTTTTTATTTTGTTTATTGTTTAACACAGCACACAGCTATACTCCAGCTATGTGATGGCAGTCAATAGATAATCAAGTTTGAACCAGACAGTCCAGTGATTGACAGCATAAGCATTTATCCACGCAATTAGGACATGATGAAGTCACTGAGCCTGACCACCCGATCCCGTTAGTCGCCTCTTATACCAAGCATGGGGTGCTGATGACCTATCCTAACCCAGTTGAAGTAAGACAACACGCCTAGGTTACTTGGAACTTGGAATTTGGAATCCCCATGAACTAGAAATGGAACCTCACCAGTTAATCACTTTCTGTACAAGTCCACCAGCCTTGTCCTTCATTCCGATCTCTTTCTTCACCATGGCGTAGGGATACAGTGTGTCAATGGGGAACTCGATAAACACTGGCCCTGGAGGACATTGTGACAAGAACTTTGTGTCATCAAATATGTTAAATTTATAACAGATTCGGTACGTGTTTATTACATAATTTGCAACCCCTTCCTACATTTTGTTTTGTTTTGTTCTGTATGTTATTTAACACTGTACTCAGCAATATTCCAGCTATATGACGGCAGTCTGTAAACAATCGAGTCTGGACCAGACAATCCAGTGATTGACATCATGAGCATCAATCCATGCAATTGGAATATGATGATATGCATCAACCTAACTTAAGTCAGCAAGCCTAACCACCAGATCCCATTAGTCGCCTCTTACGACAAGCATGGGTTGCTGAAGACCAGTTATAATCCAGATGCTCATGATTTCTTGCAACATTTAAGATATTCCAGGCTGTGCACTACTTTTTCTCATAATACTTCTTTGTCAACAGTTTGTCATCAACATTCCTCTTAAACATGTTCATAACATCACAAAATAAAGTATATAAACATAGTGCATAGTGTGCACTTCAGTATAATGTGCCTCAACCATTTTTGGGGTACAAGTTTTGTAGACAAGGGCTATTTCATATCTTGTGCGCAGTAAGAAACTACATTGTACCATTTTACTTGAATTTCCTGTTTTGCTAGGCATTGTTTAGTTTGCAGAGATTACTGTGTGTTTTTGTCTATTAAAATAAGACAGAAATAGCAATCAGCTGTACACAAATTTTCTCCCCAATCTACTGCTAACTTAGTTAGAAAATAATCCCAAGCCTCAGGCAGGGTAACTTTTGGTATGATGCAACCAGGTGTTCAAACCACCAATATTCCCCTTCATGGGGAAACGCTCTATGCACCACACCAGGGAAGCAAGCCATATGTGAAAGGAAAGCCCAATGAGCATGAATCAAGTTATAAGTCGTTACTATTTTGGTGAAGCCACACAATGGTGCTGCATATTTATTGGAAGAACATTGATTTAGTTGAAGGTGGGATTCAAACTCATGACCATTGGATCCTGACACTAAAAGGGAGACAACTCCTACCTGGAGTTCCAGACTGGGCCACCTGAAGTGCTTTCCGCACAGTGGGAACGATCTCTCGGATCTTCGTTATTGTCGCACAATATTTACACAAAGGTTTAAATAGAGACATCTGGTCTATATCTTGAAGAGCTCCACGACCCTGAAATTGTCAACATACCTACAATGAGACAAAACATGCTAAAACATGGAAAATGGAAGAGTACAAATTCATAAAATTGACACATGTATACCGTTTCGCCATATTGGAACTCTGACCAATAACCAATAATTTACATGTGAGTCCACATTTGCTCGTGTCCATTACACATGTTACACAGGAAACAGCAGCACCGACATGAATCCAATGGAGCATCAATGGGATCATTTGGGGCATAGGTAGTCTGTCTTACAGACCCTGATACAAATATATCAAATACAGCCCATGCAAGTCTAGATTACTGCAGTATCAAATGAAAAGAGTCTCTGGGCTCCCTTTTATTATATTTTTATTAAGATAATTGAACAACTGGTTTTTTTTCTGTATGGTATGTTCACTTCAGAGACTAGATGTTAGTCTAGGGGCATAGGGGTAGAGCCCTGTATTCTACCCACTTGTGTCAAACTTGGCATCATTGACCACTCCAATCAGTGAACTGTTGTTGGTTCAATTATTTTATTGCCTTTGAACTTCCTTAATGCCAGTCAACAGAATAAACATATATACTGTGTGTTGTTTTTAGGAAAACACTGTTTATTGTTAGTAAGGAAGTGTTTTACTCAGTGCTAATAAGTGGTGCTATTTGCTGTTTGATTGGATTAAGGTAAGGATATGTATTGGTGGGGGAGTTTGCATTGATTTTGAGTCGCATTTTTGGCTAAGGGTCAGCAGTCGTATTAATTTGGAGACACATTAATTCCAAGATTTACAGTACATATTTTATGTGAACAACAAACACTGGCATGTTTTCCAGATCTGGTTTTCCAGAACCAGTACCGTTTTCTATTTTGATCTGGAAACCTTATTGAAAGTATACATATTTGGAGCTGACATGTATGAGGAAGAGATTAGTATGTACATGACGTGCAGCCAAAAGGAGATGTAGAAGTGCTGTATGTACCTTTAACAGTGTGGCAGCAGCGCCACCTATGAGGAGAAGTGGCGACTCCGCCATCTGGGCATTCTTGACGGCAGTCACAGTATTGGTGAGGCCTGGAAAACAATCCACCCGATCATCATCATGTCTTCATGGCTCTTGATGCAAATAGTGTAGATCAGTTTATGTATTTACTTCCCGAAAGTGTGTTCGGTTTACTGCATCGTTATTACTCTTATATACACTACGTTCCTCCGTCATGAGTGAATACATACAGTTGCTTGGCAGTGCAGATGCTATTGGGGAAACCAGCAATTACTCAGACCAGTGAGCGCTACGATTACAACGTACAAACAGTGAGGGAAACCGGCGATTACTCAGACCAGCGAGTGCTACGATTACAATGTACAAACGGTGAGGGAAACCGGCGATTACTCAGACCAGCGAGTGCTACGATTACAATGTACAAACGGTGAGGGAAACCGGCGATTACTCCGACCAGCTAGCGCTACGATTACAACGTACAAACGGTGAGGGAAACCAGCGATTACTCAGACCAGCGAGTGCTACAATTACAACGAACAAACGGTGAGGGAAACCAGCGATTACTCAGACCAGCTAGCGCTACGATTACAACGTACAAACGGTGAGGGAAACCAGCGATTACTCAGACCAGCGAGTGCTACAATTACAACGTACAAACAGTGAGGGAAACAAGAGATTACTCAGACCAGCGAGTGCTACAATTACAACGTACAAACAGTGAGGGAAACAAGAGATTACTCAGACCAGCTAGCGCTACGATTACAACGTACAAACAGTGAGGGAAACCGGCGATTACTCAGACCAGTGACCGCTACGATTACAACGAACAAACGGTGAGGGAAACCGGCGATTACTCAGACCAGCGAGTGTTACGATTACAACGTACAAACGGTGAGGGAAACCAGCGATTACTCAGACCAGCTAGTGTTACGATTACAACGTACAAACGGTGAGGGAAACCAGCGATTACTCGGACCAGTGAGCGCTACGATTACAACGTACAAACAGTGAGGGAAACCAGCGATTACTCAGACCAGTGAGCGCTACGATTACAACGTACAAACGGTGAGGGAAACCAGCGATTACTCAGACCAGTGAGCGCTATGATGACAACGTACAAACGGTGAGGGAAACCAGCGATTACTCAGACCAGTGAGCGCTATGATGACAACGTACAAACGGTGAGGGAAACCAGCGATTACTCAGACCAGTGAGCGCTACAATTACAACGTACAAACGGTGAGGGAAACCAGCGATTACTCAGACCAGCGAGTGCTATGATGACAACGTACAAACGGTGAGGGAAACAAGAGATTACTCAGACCAGCTAGTGTTACGATTACAACATACAATTGGTGAGAGAAACCAGCGATTACTCAGACCAGTGAGCGCTACAATTACAACGTACAAACGGTGAGGGAAACCAGCGATTACTCAGACCAGCGAGTGCTACGATTACAATGTACAAACGGTGAGGGAAACAAGAGATTACTCAGACCAGCGAGTGCTACGATTACAACATACAATTGGTGAGGGAAACCAGCGATTACTCAGACCAGTGAGCGCTACGATTACAACGTACAAACGGTGAGGGAAACCAGCGATTACTCAGACCAGTGAGCGCTACGATTACAACATACAATTGGTGAGGGAAACCAGCGATTACTCAGACCAGTGAGCGCTACAATTACAACGTACAAACGGTGAGGGAAACCAGCGATTACTCAGACCAGCGAGTGCTATGATGACAACGTACAAAAGGTGAGGGAAACCAGCGATTACTCAGACCAGTGAGCGCTACAATTACAACGTACAAACGGTGAGGGAAACCAGCGATTACTCAGACCAGCGAGTGCTATGATGACAACGTACAAACGGTGAGGGAAACAAGAGATTACTCAGACCAGCTAGTGTTACGATTACAACATACAATTGGTGAGAGAAACCAGCGATTACTCAGACCAGTGAGCGCTACAATTACAACGTACAAACGGTGAGGGAAACCAGCGATTACTCAGACCAGCGAGTGCTACGATTACAATGTACAAACGGTGAGGGAAACAAGAGATTACTCAGACCAGCGAGTGCTACGATTACAACATACAATTGGTGAGGGAAACCAGCGATTACTCAGACCAGTGAGCGCTACGATTACAACGTACAAACGGTGAGGGAAACCAGCGATTACTCAGACCAGTGAGCGCTACGATTACAACATACAATTGGTGAGGGAAACCAGCGATTACTCAGACCAGTGAGCGCTACAATTACAACGTACAAACGGTGAGGGAAACCAGCGATTACTCAGACCAGCGAGTGCTACGATTACAATGTACAAACGGTGAGGGAAACAAGAGATTACTCAGACCAGCGAGTGCTACGATTACAACATACAATTGGTGAGGGAAACCAGCGATTACTCAGACCAGTGAGCGCTACGATTACAACGTACAAACGGTGAGGGAAACCAGCGATTACTCAGACCAGTGAGCGCTACGATTACAACATACAATTGGTGAGGGAAACCAGCGATTACTCAGACCAGTGAGCGCTACAATTACAACGTACAAACGGTGAGGGAAACCAGCGATTACTCAGACCAGCGAGTGCTACGATTACAATGTACAAACGGTGAGGAAAACAAGAGATTACTCAGACCAGCTAGTGTTACGATTACAACATACAATTGGTGAGGGAAACCAGCGATTACTCAGACCAGCTAGTGTTACAATTACAACGTACAAACGGTGAGGGAAACCAGCGATTACTCAGACCAGTGAGCGCTATGATGACAACGTACAAACAGTGAGGGAAACAAGAGATTACTCAGACAAGTGACCGCTACCATTACAACGTACGAACGGTGTACATACGAACTCTTTGTGAAACTGGCAGGGTTCATGCATGGACTAGGACAGGTCTGACTTCATTGAGTCGTAAGCTGTTGTCAATATGGCTACTATTAAAGCATACACATTTATGGGCTAAAACTGATCTGTGTGACTACTGTGAAGTACCTGGTCCTGCTGTTACCGCAGCCACTCCCACTGTCCCTGATAAACGGGCAACAGCGTCAGCCGCAAACACCGCCGTCACCTGCCCGATAAAACAACAACAGTACAATATTTCCTCTAATGAGAATAGGAGCTGATAAGGCTTATGTAATTTCCTTTTCACTTCGTATCACAAACACAAAATGCAATTTATGAAAACTAGTCAAACAAGTCACTGATTTTAGATCACTCAAATCAATCAACTTGAAGACCAATTCTAACCTGGAATCCTAAAAGTTTCGCAAATTAGATGCCTCTTACAGCTAGCATTGGGGTGGTGGGGACACATTCTACCCATGGGGTAACCAGCCCCCATTTTATCCGGTTAAAGCATGAGAAGAGTGACCTGGGATTTCCTACAGGGCATGTTCAGTCTAACTAATAGAAATAGGGGGCTCTTATTAGAATATCATTTTGGTGAGAGAAAAAACAGAGTTGAAAGATAAATTTCGTGGTTTATGCTGACAGCCTGAAATGTTTATATACGACAGATATATTTTTCCAGCATTTAATTGCCCATAATTGAGGGTGCATATTACACATGAGTGCATATTATACACGAATAAATAGGTCTTGTGTACATTGATCAATCGGAAGGGGTGCTAATTGGGATTGTTCACTAGCTCATATATTAGCAAATATCGCCGTGGGCGCTTATTAGAGTGGATGCTTATTACGTCGAATATGGTAACTATTAACGCCTATTCCGACTAGTACCTGTTCAGCCTTATCTTCAAGAATCATATCTTTTCCTTATATGAAGCGACCCATTTATTATAATTTATTGATCTAATAATTTATCTTCATTCAGTCTACTCTAGTTATCTAATTTGATCGTTTATACAAATATTTATTTATTTTTTTATTTGATATTACCATCTTCTTGTTTTATTTATTCACCTACTTCCTTTATCTTACTGTTATTATTTTTGAGAATATATTGCAATGTACCGTCAACTTTTCAATAATTTACCTAATTTACAATTGCCATTGTTACCATGGATACTACTCACGCCCAAGACCAATACTACTTGTTTCTGATATAACCACTTACACGAAAAAACCTGTTCACTGCTATCACTGCCGCTAACATATATTGACATGTACTATGCTCACTAAATACAAAAGTAAAAATGTTTAACGCTCTGCTACTTTATTGTGTATATATATAGAATACTAAACGGGCTCCCATGTAAAACCGATTTTATGAAACAGTGAATAGTTCTGGTATAAGTTTCATAAAATTTGTATTACAGGGGGGCGAGTTTAGTATTTTATTTATTACTTGACATTTATAAGTCTTTTCAGAATTTCACTGCCGTGTGTGAATAGGTGAATAGGCTGACACCTAAACGATCCACAGCATAATCCAATTGAGTTTAACAGAATAATACTTCAAACATGTCAAAAGTTGACACATATTAATTTAATACCATACAACGGCCCACCTTTAGAATTCAGGCGTCTGTTCCACAAAGTTATCGAAGCGCTAAGGTTATCGTAACTCACATACTTCAACCTACTCTTATGACTGTTGTTGCGCTACAGTACGATCGCCTTGTGGAACGAGGGCCTGCACCACAGAGTTTACAATCACGCCACAATACTCTATGACGTAAATTGTGGAATTTTGTTGCAAGATCCACTGGAAATACAATGCCAGGTGATGTCAGCCTAGCAACAGGGTTGCTGGGGTCATCGAGTGTGAATAAGCTCCTCTCAGTCATCTATCATCTCCACACGCAATGTTGTTGAATAAGCCATGGAATGTTGAGAGCTTTCAATATTTGTTTATGAAACGTGTTCCCGTAGTACATTAACACGAGTTTTAGTATAACACAATGTGTAGTACTAGTTATGTTTATTGATCTCTTCACGGGCAAATAATAAATGATTGTTAATATGTTTATATTATACCTCATGTCTTGTATCAACGACCCGTATTCCCAGCCTCTCACAGGCCACCAGTATGGGGGAAATATGGCCGCCGACCAGGGTAAACACATACTTCACTCCATGTTCCTGGAATAAACAAATAAACAGAGATAGAGTCACCAAGTTCTGTATTTTCTGGAATATCTGCAATATTAGATTAATATGATAGACTGACTGACTGAGTATGGTTTTACGCCGCTTTTAGCAATATTCCAGCAATATCACGGCGGGGGACACCAGAAATGGGCTTCACACATTGTACCCATGTCGGGAATCGAACCCGGGTCTTCGGCGTGACGAGCGAACGCTTTAACCACTAGGCTACCGGACCGCCCCTAATATGATAGAACAGTACTACAAGAATATTCAACCATAAATAACAAGTTTGACAAAAGCAGCATTCACATTTCATGAGTTACCTAAGCAGGACTAAACTGTACATATGCCTACATTGTGTTCTTGTTTTCTCCCCTCACTGCTGAGTGCCAAGTCAGGTATCAATAAGTGCCAACTTTTAACGTCTTTTGGTATGACGTACATGACTTGGTCAGGAATCGGACCACTGACCTTCTGCTCTCCGGGCAGACACTCTATCCACCATGTCCACTGGATTTGTTTTTTTCATATTTGTATAATGAAACAATCAGCAACAGGGGTCTGTGAGTGAGTGAGTGAGTATGGTTTTACGCCGCTTTTAGCAATATTCCAGCAATATCACGGCGTGGGACACCAGAAATGGGCTTCACACATTGTACCCATGTCAGGAATCGAACCCAGGTATTCGGCATGACAAGCGAGGGGTCTGTGAATAAACTGAATCCAAAGTCTCCTCTTATGACAAGCATAGGTTGCTGGGGACCTATATTCTTACCTGGAATCATCATGGGGATCTATACACCAGATTGTGCAGATGGGTTTTAGTGTTTGTAAGCGTAACGTAGTGTAGTGTTTGTAAGTGTAACCATGGCAATGTGGTCATGATGGTGTAGAGATTGTAAGTGTAGAGTAGTGTAGTGATTGTAAGTGTAACCATGGCAACATGGTCATGATGGTGTAGTGATTGTAAGTGTAACCATGGCAACATGGTCATGATGGTGTAGAGATTGCAAGTGTAACCATGGTAACATCATCATGATCATATATTTACCTTCAGAACATCTGCTACTATGTCTCCTCCATTTCTCTTGGTTTGTGCATCAACCTATAACATCATCATGATCATAAGTGAGACAAATAAACAACAGTTCAAAACAATATCACATGAATATGATACACACTAATCAAAAGAAATTAAAGACCACCTGATTCTTTCACATTACTATCATTAATCTGTCAGGTCATTACAGTATAGAGGCTTGAAAATTGGGAACAAGACAATATATGCTACAGTATATATGTATGCTATGACAGATTAACTATAGTAATATGAGTGAGTGAGTGAGTGAGTTTGGTTTTACGCCGCTTTTAGCAATATTCCAGCAATATCACGATGGGGGACACCAGAAATGGGCTTCACACATTGTACCCATGTAGGGAATCGAACCCGGGTCTGCGGCGTGACGATCGAATGCTTTAACCACTAGGCTACCCGACCGCCCCTATAGTAATATGAAAGAATAGGGTGTTCTTCAACTTCTTTTGAGTAGCATATATCTTTGGTTTCCTTATTTTCAGGCCTCTGTGTCCATTCATTGTCTCTGAAACGTCCTACATGTATATAAACACTATTCTGGGATAGAATGTTAGCATGAAAGTCAAGGTGGGTCCCCATATTCAAATACTATAGCAGCAAACCTCTTGATTTTGAAAACTGCTATGAGATATAAACATGTGGAATAGGTTGATTTAATCATAAATAAATTGCAAGTGAATCCATGTCATTTGATTGGCTAACCAAGCAGTCTGTGAAGATATTATTGTTGACATATATATCTATAAGAAGTGACTTCAATATCTTCTTGTGTTTATGGAGTTATAAACAAAACCATCTGGTGTGCACATTTTGCATACATCTGATACATGGATTTACATAGTATGCACACATGGTTTTACAATTATTTCAACACAAAATAATAATGAAAACAATTAAAGTGATGACTCTTTCCCCATCATAATTTTTTTAGTACTGAAAATTTCCTATCATTTGGGGGCCTAACCCTATGGATTGTAAAGGGATATTTGATCTGAAATGTGGTCCAAGGGCTGAGGATAGACCCTACCCATCTTCCCGAGGCAAGGGAGTTAACTGATGATAAAATGTCCAGTTTCCATCCTTGCCATACTAAGCTAGAATTTCAGAGTTATATTTTGACTGGACTAATGAGTCCACAAATAGTCCACTCAAAATCATGTAACGAATTTGACATCTGGCTCATCAAATGCTGCACAGATTTTGGTTGATTGCAGGATTTGCAACACATGTCCACCCTCAAATTGGAGTTGACAGATATTTTTCAAACCTTTTCATGTTTTTAATCAAGGTGCTCAAGTCATTTGATGCACTTTGCAAGGTAAAACCTGTTTTATTTCAATATAGATCTTGCTTATCGATCAGAACATCTTGACTGGGCGAATGAAGCAAATGAAAGTCATCATGAGTAATATGATATATGTGGAATCTGATTGTCAATAGACGGGACATAGAAGGTATGTAACTTGTAATAACCACTGGTAGCGCTACGATTGAGCCACGAAATTCCAGTCAAGTTCGGCAAGGTTGGAAAAAGGACTTTTACTGAACGTTAACTTCCTTGCCTTGGGAAAATGACTCAAACCTTAACACAACTAGCTAACCCTAAAGTTTGAAGAGGCATGAGAGGTCTGTGAAGCTAGAGCCACAGCCAGCAGCTGAGCTAATAAAGGCCATAAGAAAACAATACTGAATTATAAAGATCCAAAATATGTGGCTGTTTTTGTCAAATAATAATTTGGTTCTGCAAGTTTTGACAAGTGCCAAATAAGTTTTAACAGGTCAATAGATCAAACTAGTTTAACCACAACAGTTTTTATCTCAATGTTCAGTTTCATATCAATATCTGACCAAAGCAGCTAACTTTTGAAAAATCATGTAAGATGTAAGAAAACATTGCAATATTCAAAGAGACATGACATAGACAACATGTCTGATGGACACGGACAGCACTAAGGTACAAAGTTCACAATCTAAATATTCTCAATTCTATAAACAATTCCGTGATATCATGGATGGCTAAGAGGCACACCTTATGGAACCATTGATAGAAAATGCCAAAACGTTTCAGCAAGAAGACAACGCCGATTGTAGCAGCTGACAAGCTAACGGGAACTGCAAAATTTGTAAAATTCTTCTGCAAGTCTCCAAAGTAGCGATCCCATGACGCCATGTTGAATGAAATGGCCTTGACATTGCTGTACAAAGGTTAATATTTTGAATTTAAATGCACACAGACATATTTATATATATATAATGATAATAATATTTGTGTCGTAGTATTCAAAAGATATCAGTATTTAATTCGTGTCATTCACCTTAATGCAATATTCGATGTTAGTCCAGGAGCGAATATTTTAGGACCGTCGCTATTATTTCCGGTTGATGTGTCGCTGTAACTTGACAACTCAGAATATAATTGCTGCGAATCTATTTGGACGATTCAGGTACATACAGCGTCGATATCAAATTGATATTCAGTTTCATGGTTATCTTAAGTCACTAACACCTTCATAGGCGGCAAAAAATATAATATTCGCTATCAGTGTAATAAATATGCATCTGGTACGATGTTAAACTGTTTATGTCGTAATGTATCGAGCTTATTTGGCTGATTCATATTAGGCTGATTGATAAATAGTGTAAATAGAAAATAATTTCTAACCTGCATACCAATCCTATACAAGCTATATTAGCAAGTTGCCTCTGTCTGTTGCTTTGAGGTCGTTCATGGGTTTCACTAAGTGGTAAACGACTGAGACCTGCATCACGCAAACCCACCCACTCTGTGGCTTAGTGTAAACATGGTAAACAAGTCTTTTCAATCTAAAACAAACTTGAGTAACCCTACGATCTACACCTAGCTTTGTTGACAATTCTTTATTCCCATTCAAATATATGTTGAAATCTGATTTACAAACTACGCACAATAACATATTAGCTTCAGTATCTACTGTTTCCCCCCTTTGCCCTGGGGATTCTAAGTCAGACCAGGTCCCCAGTACCTCATCATGCTTGTGGTAAAAGAGGACTAACATATGGATAAAGTGGCACAGACCTGGGACTCGGGTAGGAGTGTGTCAGTGTACACTGTCAACTTGCATTGATGACATGGATTGTTCTCATGTTATTTTGCAATAAAGAGGGTTTGTGATCCTGGTGGATGATGATGATGATGCACAGACCTGGGACTCGGGTGAGAGTGTGTCAGTGTACACTGTCAACTTGCATTGATGACATGGATTGTTCTCATGTTATTTTGCAATAAAGAGGGTTTGTGATCCTGGTTGATGATGATGATGATGATTATTGCTGAGTGGCGATAAACAACACTCCATGTATTGTTTTATTGCAGGGAACTATGATGCGGGAGAGGGAGGATGAGGAGACTCTGTTTGACCAGGAGACTCTTCTCAGTACAGGATCGGTCAAATTCTCAGGACGGTCAGATTGGTGCCGCAAGTTCACCAAAACCATTGTTCTATCTGGGGCCTTCTTTGCTTTGGTATGCATCATGGTGGCTTCATATCATGCTTTTAGTAACCATTTAGAACCAACTAGTATGTATGTTTTTTCTTGGTCAGGCAGGGAAAGAAATTGTGATTTATTTCTTAGTAAGTGTGATTATCTGCCAAGGAGCCAACAATGTCTTTCACTATTATTTTGTCTCCAGATTCCTGTGTTTTTAGGGTCAGTAAATTTGCAACTAAGTAATATACAAGGAAAAGACTTACGTTTGTTGTTTTGATTGTGAGTTCCAGAAATGCCTTGATTCGGAATCTTTGGTTTGTGAAGCATCAATGATCTAAATCAATTCAGGTTTTACTCCCCACAAAAGTGGTTTGTTTTTCTGCAGAGTTGTAGAATTGTAAATCTTTAAAGTCATTTTGTACATATAAAAATATTAATAATTCTAAGAATGAAGGATCTATAATTGTTAGTCATTGATATTGTAACAGGTCTTGTTTCTAATCTCCAGGGTCTGTGTATAGCAATCCCTGGCCCGACTCTCCTTGACCTTGGTGCAAGGGTCAACACTGACACGGAGCACATGTCACTCATCTTCACTGCCCGATCTCTCGGCTACCTCATCGGCTCCGTCATTGGGGGCTTTCTGTTTGACCACTTTGACCAGCAGATCCTGCTGTTCTACTCGCTGTTCTTGACGGCGATCGCGACGACCGTCGCCCCGTGGTGCGTCTCACTGTCTGCACTGGCTATCATGATCTCATTCCAAGGCATCTCCATGGGCGTGCTGGATACAGGTGGGTCAATGTCTCCATCAGTTTACATTGTCAAAACACCCGTGAAGATTCGGGTTAGAATAGGTCTTCAGCAACCCATGCTTACCGTAAAAGGGGACTATGCTTGTCGTAAGAGGCAACTAAAGGGATCGGGTGGTCAGGCTAGCTGACTTGGTTGATGCATGTTATCGTATCCCAATTGTGTAGATTGATGCTCATGATGTCAATCAATGGTTTGTCTGGTCCAGAATCGCATATTTACAAAGCGCCATCATATAGCTGAATATTGCTGAGTGCGGCGTTACACAACAAACAAACAAAAAAAGAAGCAAAGACATTGTCAAAATAACTTACCAAAGGGGTAGCTTCTTAAAACCATGAGTTTATATTTAATCAGAGATCAAGCAGTAGTGAACTTCATTCAAACATTGATGAAACTTCTAATAAAAGTTACTGTGCAGTTATATACCCCTTTTGTACTGCTTTGTCTGTAAAAGAAACCCTAACATATACAAGAAAGTACGGATGGTCATGTTATGTTATCTTCTGTGCTTATCTGTGACTATTACTTACAGATTGGGGGGGGGGGGGGGGCATGGGTGGCCCAGTCGTCTAAGGCGCCGCGATTCGCTGTGCAGAGTTGCATGCCTTGGGCACGCCAGAAACCTATGATTGTGGGTTCGAATCCTGGTTCGCCCCGATTATGTTTCTAGGTTTGTCAGCACCATACCCATGCTCGTGGGTTTCACCAAAGTGGTAAACGTCTGAGACCTGCATCACTTCGGGCTTTCCTCCCACATTAAGCTGACACGCTGTGATATAACTGGAATAATGTTAAAAGCGGCGTTAAATCCAACTCACTCACTCACTCACTCATTTACAGATTGGCCTAAACGTTGATTAGGGGGTGCTTATTAGAGTGGGGCGATTATTACTGCAGATATGGGCTAGATGCCAGATCTCTACATTTTCTTGTTTTACAAGCTTACCATAGTTACAGATGAACCTAACTTTTTTCAAGTAAAAAGAGACAAAGGATGAGGCATGATAATGGCCGATTTTGCCCATTGAAATTTAAAATTTAAAATTATGGAAATATAGATATGAAATTTTTTACAATGTACAATTGGCTGACAACTAGTAATTCTTTCCAATGATATCTTCTGGGCATCAAATTGTGAATAACACACATAGATCTGAAAACACAGCATTTCTCCTAATTACGACTGCAATCCTTTCAGGTGGAAATGTCTTCTGTATCAAGATATGGGGAAAGAAGAGTGGGCCGTACATGCAGGTCGTTCACTTCGCGTTCGGCATGGGGGCCTTTGTGGCGCCACTTCTTGCACGACCATTCCTCCTCAACCAGGACCTTTTGGCAGCCACGAACCAGACCATCCCAAACAATGGACTCTCTTTGTTAACTAATGGACCTCATGCATCGCTGCTTCGGGCTGAGTTTGAGAACCCCCACGATAGATATTTACGAGATCTGACTGCCAATCTGAATGTATCAGACCAATCACTAAACAGTTCCACGACGACGATACCACTCTCTAATGAAACTTCTGCTTTCAACACCTCTGTATCCACGACAACCACGCAGGCAACAGAGAAACCGATGAAACCAAAACATATAATTTCATCTGAGTTCCAGAAAGACCATGCAGCAGGTGAGAATTTGAAAAATGTGAATATAGGGAGTGTTATCAGAGATCAAGGTGATCCACCACCTTTGATGGAAGATGAATCTACAACTCCAATAGCAGTGACGTCCCAGGGTGTTTCCAATCTAACATCTCATGGAAACATGTCGGCAAACGGTACAGGTGAAGATCAAAATGACACTGATATTTCGGGGTTGTCGACAACTATTTCACCATCTTCATCAGCATCAGCATCAGAAGCATCAGACTTGACGATATCGCCTGTTATAACTACCCAAAGCACCACCTCCACCACCACCACCACCACACCTCCACCTACTACTACTACTGCAAGTTCCACTACTACAAGTTCTACTTCTACTACAACCACCACTACTACTACCACTACTCCACCTACCCCTGCTCCAAGTATTCCAGCATCTGCAACCGTAAAACCTTCATCTGTTGCTCCTGCTGAACCCGCTCCCCTCACAACTACTCCCACTGCAGAAACTACAAATGTAAATGGTTCACAAACAGAATCTACGGTATCTGTGACAACAGAGAAAGCAAAGAAGCCTGCAACATTAGGCAGCAAAGTCGGTTCAGCCCTGAAGTTGTTAGTTAACATGTCGAAAATTCAGTTTGCGTATTTGATCATCGGAGTTCTTCTCATTTTGATTGCATTCATGTTCCTTGTTTTGTACTGCCAGGATCGGAACCGCCCTTCCATTTTCACACGTGACGAAGAGCATGATGGTAGCTATGGGAAGGAGTCCCAAGGCTACCGAATCACGATGCTTGTCATCCTTTTCTTCTTCTTCTTCATCTACGTCGGCATGGAGGTCACATTCGGAGGTCTCTTGTCCACATTTTCCTATGAAAAAATGCATTGGAATAAACCGAAGAGTGCTGTTTTGACATCTATATTCTGGGGCTCCCTAGCTGCTGGTAGAGGATTCGCCATCTTTATTGCGCGATGTTTTAAACCACCCTGCATGCTTGTAACAGATCTGGTGCTTTTGATTATCGGTTCCGTAATCTTATGTTTCGGCATAGGGAATATCCCTTACAACCTGTGGATCGGAACTCTGATAATCGGATTCGGAATGTCTTCGATTTTCCCAACTGGGGTCTCCTGGGCCGATCAGTACTTCCCTCTAACTGGAAAGTCTACCGCAGTGTTTGTTGTTGGCTCTGCCTTAGGGGAAATGTTGATCCCATTTCTAACAGGCTTGTTGTATGAGAAGAAAGAGAAGATGATGCTGATGTACATGATGCTAGCGCTGGGAATCTTGCTGGGCGCCATTTACATCGTCATGCAGTGTTTTGCTACAAGGCGCCGCAAGTTTTCAGCAACGGCTCGTAACGGTTTTGTGCCTTTGAAGGATGACGAAAACATCTCCATGGACACACTTGAGCAGAACTTTGAGGGATCTGGTCTCCTGGAGACGTCCCGACAACGTCCTGCTCGAAAACATCCCAAACCAGCAAACATGGAACTCGAGTACAGTCGACTTGTTGATATTGACGACTGATCTGTCAGTCAAGTTGTCGTCATTTGGAAGTGATATATACCTGTATATACATGTATACATATATGAGAGATTTATGAGAGTGTGGATGTTGGGAGAGAATGAAGCTTTGAATTTTTGTCCTGAGGTAAACTGTAAAATGTTTTTTAAATACTCATGTATTTGTGCCATAACTGATTTTGAAATTACCTTGTTACTAGTGGTCATGTTGAAGAAGGCTTTATTAAAATCTCAGTTGTTTTCATGTATTTGAAAATGTCTGTCCTTTTGAGATTTTTTCCCTTTAAGCCAGATTAGTTTATTTTTTTGTTTTATAGATTTCTTTCTTGGTTGGAAAAATATCCCAGGAATTGGAAATATTGTCTCACTGTGAGGCTATTTTATCTCCTGAAAAGTTACCACTAAAAGTCTTTTCACTACATGGCTTAAAAATTGTCAGTGTCATGTAAAATTATAACTTGCTCTCTCACTTCAAACATATGTTAAAAAAACATTTTTTAATTCAACCAGCATCGTTTATTTCAAAAGTATTTTTCGCTCTTAACAAACTTTAAGATGGGCTTGTCTGTAAACATGACAATTGATAATCTGGCTGGTGAACAAATATTGAAATCTAGAAAATGAAACATGCACTTTCTGCACACCTTTCAAAGATGCACTTTTATGTAAATAGTTCACAAATATGTGAAATGTTTTTGGCATCTGTGCAACAGTTAATTCCAAATATCACTGTTTGTGTTGTCATTGTACATGTTGCATGGTGGAAATTGACAGTTACGACTGAATGGACCTCAGTCATTACAAGCAAACCCTTGATGCAGAGGTCACAGATATTTAAACATTGACAGTACACAAGTTATATGTCTGTGTTTGCCGTTACCATGGTTACAATTAGAAATATCAAATGGCTAAAAAATCAAACATATTTTATCATACATCACTCATATGTTTTACCAAAAGTGGCGCTGGTGCTTAATGTGAGATAATATTGTTATAGTGCTGATTGAAGACCATTCACGTCATGTTACGTTGTGGTACGTCATGTTAGTTTATGTACATTATGATGATATCATAATCATCATAATTATCTACCCACCAATTCTTAGGCTAAATTAGTGCTGATATTAAGCATGTAAATAATTGTGTGCAAACTAGTGCTTGACAAATTGTACATCCATGCAATCATTTATATAGGGCTTAAAAAAATAAAAGAATTGGGTCTCAGGCAATGGTTTTTGAAAATATAGTGTGGGCGGGTGGTGTCTTTTTATCCCTTGCCGGGCCAGAAATGGCCGAAGGGGGATTATGTCGTGGCGCAGTCCGTCCGTCTGTCCGTCCCACAGAGGGTACTAAGCTTGTGAAATCAATTCCTCCTACAGTTTCCAGAGAATATCCCTGACACTCTACACACAAGATGTCGACATGTTGATGATACGCATATCGCAGTCCCGTTTTGTTTCGACCAATTTTGACAGAGTTACTGCCCCTATTTTACGGAGCTTCATTTGCCTTATTGTGAGAGAGGGTACTAAGCTTGTGAAATCAACTCCTCCTACAGTTTCCAGAGAATATCCCTGACACTCTACACACAAGATGTCGACATGTTGATGATACGCATATCGCAGTCCCGTTTTGTTTCAATTAATTTTGACAGAGTTACTGCCCCTGTTTTACGGAGCTTCATTTGACTCGTTAAAAAAATTCATGCGGGGGATGTTGTGCTCTCAGAGCACTCTTGTTTTGTTTGTTGTTGTTCAAACTAGTATGTAACCAATAAACAGTTGTGAACAATCAACCTGGGAAAGGGCCTCCCTACATAAATGTATTCCTTGATGAGTAAAATACTGGAATACAAGTTTGACTTGGAATATTTAAGGATTTTTTATATATATTTAAAAAAATATTGAAATAAAAAACGAAACATGCGGCAAACTTTATGATGATGCGGGCGGTGCCTGAGAACCAAGTATTGAATTTAGGGTTGATTGTAACTATGGTGATCTTTCGAAAGTTAGAAGCCTAGTTTGACATATCTACGTAGGAAGTCTTAACTCTTTAAGCCTTGTAGGCCACATACACAAATAAATTTTTTTGAAAAAATTTGTAGGAAGGTCAATTTTATAAATTGTCTTATATTTCAATTTCACAACCACTAGATGCCCTATTGTGACATGAAGAGTGTTTGTGAGGATAGGTTGATTAAAAAAGTGCAGCTACAGATTGAAAATAACTTGAAACCTTAACTGATGCTGTATCTGTAACTGGAACCACAATTAGCTTGCAAAAATATATATATTATTATGGGGTTCAGCTAATTTTTACGAGGGGCGGTCGGGTAGCCTAGTGGTTAAAGCTTTCTCTCGTTATGCCGAAGACCAAGGTTCGATTCCCGACATGGGTACAATGTGTGAAGCTCTTTTCTGGTGTCCCCTGCCGTGATATTGCTGGAATATTGCTAAAAGCGGCGTAAAACCATACTCACTCACTCACTCACTAATTTTTATGATCAGTCGGTAATGAGAAACAAAAGATTTTTATATGTGGCCTCAAGTTTTTGTGACTAATGTTGCATGTTTTTTGTATGATACTTGCAGCATGTGCAGGCAATGAATATTCAATTGGAATTGTAGCATTCTTTGTATCAAGCACTTACCAATGCTTGAACACTGTTAAAGTTGACAACTATGTGGGCCTTGTCAAAGTTTGATGAGGCTGAAAAATATGTTCATTTAATTTTATTTTGGCCTCAAATAGTGAAAACTAAATTTCAATGCCAATGAAAAATATATGACATCCCAGCAGTCATTTAATTCAGATAAATGATAGAATTCAAAGTGTCCTTATTGAAATAATTAACTCCAATATCTCAAGGAAACAAGGATATACCTCATGATATACCTCTGTAATTGATTTCATTGTAAAACAAAAATTGTCATACATCCAATCTCATTGAAATCAGATTTTTACAATACGATGTCTTTTGTATGAAGGTTAGACTAAACTTCCAGAGGAGATTTCACCAGGTGAATCCTGAGCGAACTGTGATTGTCCAATCAAATTAAAGGATGCATGTGTTCAGTTTTCTATAACGATTCAGCGGAGTGGTCGGGTAGCCTAGTGGTTAAACCGTCACACCAGAGACCCAAGTTCGATTCCCGACATGGGTACAATGTGTGAAGCACATTTCTGGTGATATTGCTGGAATATTGCTAAAAGCGGCGTAAAACCATACTCACTCACTATAACGATTCAGCATTACTTTACCAACTCGATTTGTTAATATTCACAACTATAATAGCACAGCTTTTATTATTTCCATTTGAAACTTAAATTTATGTTATTTTTTTGAGATACAGAAATTAGATGAGCTACTTTGAATGCTTTGCTCACTCGTTCTGAGAACTTAGAAGCCTTGACACTGTTTGGCTGATTAGACAGTTCACCTGATGTGACCTCCTCTGAATAGCTTTAAAAATCTGATTTTTAGAGATTGTCTTGCATCCATTTTTGAGCTTCATCAACCATTTGACAAGACTGCTGTAATGTTTAGAGTCACAAAGCACCATGGGTATATGTTATCGTTAGACTAACAGTGTATGTTCGTACCTTGCTGGTACATGTACTAGGAAATCTGTTTTCTGTTGTTGTTCCTCATCTCAAGCTGATTTTAAATTACCATCTTGCTCATAAATGAAAAAAAGGTTTTCATGTGAAACCACTTGCCTTGTGAATATATCATCGTGCCAACGTTTCCTCTTTCATAAAAAATACGGGGCACGGGTGGCCCAGTCGTCTAAGGCGCCGCGATTCGCTGTGCAGAGTTGCGTCCCTTGGACACGCCAGAAACCTGTGATTGTGGGTTCGAATCTCGGTTGTCCCCGATTATGTTTCTAGGTTTGTCAGCACCATACCCGTGCTCGTGGGTTTCACCGAAGTGGTAAACATCTGAGACATGCATCACTTTGGGCTTTCCTCCCACATTAAGCTGACACGCTGCGATATAACTGGAATACTGTTAAAAGCGGCGTTAAACCCAACTCACTCTCTCACTCACGACAGTATCTTAGTTTTGAGCCTCATTCAGATTGCTCAGCAGTCCAATCAAATTAAAACTAAGCTGGAGAAATTCTATGCTACTTCAGTTGTAAGAGAAGGCGATATCCGTTCTGAAATTAAGCAAAGCTTGCAAACCGGTCCAGGGTATTTATCAGTACAGAATGGAGATATAATACCCTGCATAACGGAGGATGCTACTCCTTCTGAAGCTAAGTATTGAGATGAGAAACAACGAACATAATATGGATTCCATATATGCTGCCATAGTCTTTTTTATGATTTGCCCCGGGGTTCGATTCCCATCATGGGTACAATGTATGAAGCCCATTTGTGGTGTCCCCTGCCGTGATATTGCCGGAATATTGCTAAAAGCAGTGTAGAACCATACTCACTCACTCATTTTATGATTTGCAGGAAATGATAAGAAAATGTGTCTGCTCTGTCCATTACTGAACTGTACTTATTGTATTGATTGTATTCATTGTACTCATCCCCTTATCTGTGATGTTTTTCAAATGAAAGATATTTTCATATTAAGATAATTATTTTCACCGACATATTCTATTGAAGATGTTCACTATTTTGTGTAGTTGAAACTTTGTGAATGTACATAATCACATTGTATCTTGAATAGAAATATATATCATGTATGCATAATATGTACAGTAATACAATTTTGTAATCAACTTGTATGACTATGAATGTTTGAGGTTTGATCCCGTCAGTACTGATTGGTTTGTTTACTCTACGTTCCCCCATCACGTGTGAATACAGACAGCTGTATTGTAGTAGAGTCTCTGTTTTGAACCAGTGAGCCAAGCCACTGCAGTCCAGTTCCCCCATCACGTGTGAATACAGACAGCTGTATTGTAGTAGAGTCACTGTTTTGAACCAGTGAGCCAAGACGCTGCAGTCCAGTTCCCCCATCACGTGTGAATACAGACAGCTGTATTGTAGTAGAGTCACTGTTTTGAACCAGTGAGCCAGGCCACTGCAGTCCAATGAGTGCTGAGTGCTCAGATTACAACACACACTATATCTCCTGCAACATGTGCTACAAACTTATGGGGCCCGGGCAGAATAGGTCTTCAGCAACCCATGCTTGCCGTAAAAGCAACTATGCTTGTCAGAAGAGGTGACAAACAGGATTAGGTGGTCAGGCTCGCTGACTTGGTTGATGCATGTTGTCGTATCCCAATTGGTGGATCGATGCTTATGTCAATCACTGGATTGTCTGGTCCAGACTCGATTATTTACAGACCTCCATCATATAGCTGGAATATTGCTTGGTGCGGTGTTAGACAAACAAACAAATATATCTTAACAACATTCAAATGTTTACAGGTCTGCAATATATACACGCAGTTTCCATGAGTTAGCAAAACTAGTAGCGGATGATGCAATCGAACCGAGTTACTTCCCTTTACCCAATGCATTCAGACAAACATTCATTTTAGAAACTCAACAATACCTACTGGAGATAAGCAGTTCTTTGTTTCACCCCCTGACTGCATTATTTCAAATGGTAAAACTTAGTCCAATAAGTTTCCTAAAATGTGTTCTGATTGATTTCTCAGTGGGCTACATGACATGTTTGCCATACTAGTGAGCAGGGTACATGGAAAATGATTGCTAACCCCTTAACCAATCAGAAGCTTGTATTTTTATGTAAGGTAAAGATATACGTCATTACTACACCACATAACAGCTGTATGTATTCCCCGTGATGGAGTAACATATGTGAAGAAACGACAGTGAGGTCTGACAAGCTGTGTCATTTGTTTCATGTTGGCACTGCATTTTTTGAACAACCTGAAAAAAGTAAAGCGTTGCCTATTTAATATTTCCATACAATGTAGCCATTTTGTTCACAATGTATTAACGCTTGTTTTTGTAACAAAGTGATTATCCAACAACAAGTTTCGCTACTGCACCAGAGCAATCATTATTTGACTGCTACTACATCTTCTGCTTTTAGCATCAAATCTTAAACTTAAGATATCTTATCTTTGAACATTGTTAAGATTAATATTAGCTAAGATCGTTTCGATCTAGACCCAGAACTTGCGGCCATCTTGTGGAACACAGTATTCTTGAACCAGCTGTTCACACATCGGTGGTGTCTTGACTATAACCATGATAACTGTACATGACATCAATGTCAAATGTAGATATTTTCAAATAATACATGGAAGATTGGTATTTAGAAGGGGTGGTACATATCTTTTTTTCAGGGGTATATGTGCCGACTGATGTAAACTAAATGTTTGTGTATCTACTTTTTGTTTTCAGGACATGCTCAAGTTTATAAAGTCTCATGATAATATATATTTTGGTACAAATACATATGATGC